GAAGCTCAGGCAAGACTCGATAATTGGAGCCCCACAAGACTGAGGTTCTGCTAGCTTAAGTTGCTTACACCTGTTGTTAGGCACTGATCACATGGCTCTACTGGCACTAGATTGTTACGGAAGATAAGCCATGAAGAAGGGCAAAAGCTCTTTAATTGAAGGTGAGAACTGAACTGGTAATAGTAACCAGAACTGTGAGGTGATGGGGGTTGCAAGGGCATGCATGAGGCTACATGAGGAGTATCCTACCTCCAGAAACAAAGTGTGTAGTGAAAAAAACCTAGGTATATAGAAAAATACCTACCTTAAAATTAAAACAACTATGTCAAACCAACATCAGACAAAACAACCCACTCTGGCTTCTCCTAAATATTTGTCTTACCTTTCCCACCCTGTACTTTCCAGTACAGAGTGGGGAAAGTCTAAGCTGATCAGTATAGTTGTGTCCAGTTTCAGTTAATGTTTTTTTTTTTTATATCACTTGTATTTTTTTTGTGTAATGCAGTATGTATGTAATCCATTTATAAATGAATGGTATAAATAATATATATCCATATAAATATGAAAAGAAACTTTCCCCACTCTGTACTAGAAAGTTCAGGGTGGGAAAAGTAAGACAAATATTAAGGGGGAGCCAGAGTGGGTTGTTTTGTCTGATGTTGGTTTGACATAGTTGTTTTAATTTTAAGGTAGGTCTTTTCCTATACCTAGGTTTTTTTCACTACACTTTGTTTCTGGAGGTAAGATACTCCTCATGTTTTCAAGTGACTGTAATATCTGCATTCACCTAAATACCCGATCTAACTTAACATACCTAGTGAAGTCTTTTCTTTTAGTTACGGATCGACGGGCCTGGAATTTTTTAGATATTTGTGAGATTAAAATAATCTTGTTAGTTCCAGCGAGATTGACTCTTTGCTCTGAGACTTTTTCCAGACGAGATTATAAAAATACCCCTGCCACAGCAAACCTGTTGTCTTAGCGAATTTCCATTTGCCTGAATTGATTTTCGATAAAATCTTTTTTTAATAACAATAGGTTTAATGAGTTCGTTGCTGATACAGGGAAACTAATGTTGAGAACAAAGAATCTCATCTCGAACTTAAAATCCATTCTCGTCTATCCCTACTTTTCATATTTACATGGATATATATTTATACCATTCATTTATAAATGGATTACATACATACTGCATAACACAACAAAATACGTGATATAAAAAAACATGAAACTGAAACTGGACACAACTATACTGATCAGCTTAGACTTCTGAGTTGTTGGCTTTAGAGCCACCAAGCTAGTCTGAAAAACCCATAACAGAACATTTAGCAATATGATAAGTCCATCTTACTGTGACATTGAAATAATTGTCCTTTGAAATCATGAACTTAAAATAATCTTTTGTTTCAGGTCCTTAGCAAAGTCCCAGGAGCGAAATAATGCAGTTCACCAATAGCGCTTAGAGCAAATTCTCTCACCATTTACCCAGTACTATCCTTTTCTATTAGTTATTTTTATATTTCTTACTATAGTTATATTAAGTGGATATGCTTTGTTGCCATATGAGCTACTTTTATCTAAAGAGAAAATAACCTTAGTTTAAGTGTATCTTACTTATCATGCATAAATTACAGGCCACAAAAACACTACAATATAAATATGGTAGTTGAAATGATTATAAAATTGTTCATACCTGGCTGTTGTACCACAACAAAGCTTATTAAGGTCGAAAAATGTTTGAAAGTTCTTATTGAAACTCTTAAAATAACAATCTATGTTTACTCGTAAACTTGATCTAAAACATTTTAGAAAAACATTTGATTGTAAAGTATTGTCTAGAACAGTCTTTGTTTCATACATGCTGAAATCTGCATTTTTATCAATTAAGGTTTAGGTATGTATCAAAATATTATTAGAAATAAGCCATGACAATGTAATTTTTTTATGTTCTTCCCCTTACTGTAAATCATTGATTTTTCCTGGAAGATGTCGTAGTAACATTAGCCTTTTTACATAGTTACTAAAATTATGTACAAATATGTGTCATTAGAACTCGAGTACAATTTCATGTTGACGAGGCAGGACAATTTATAAAGCAATGCTGTTAAATGTAAATGATTCTTGTTCTTTTGATTCTTAAATTGATATTAGTGAAAATGTGTTTCAAGTTTAAATGAGAACAACAGCCCTTCTTAAACCTAATGTCATAATTTTCTATTAGTTTACTAATAAATTTCTTGCAAACACATATTATCTTTTGCCTCTAGCGACATAGATCTGTGTTTGTACATGTTATTACAGATGAATCTAGTCAGGAAACATGTCAAAGGAATATCCTGCTAAGTATTTTATGGCTGTCTCTTATTTTATGTGCATTTGTATAAAACATTAGTGTATGTAGCATTGGTTGAACGTGTCTTCTTTTTACTCAAGACCAAAATACCCAAAAAAGCACCTACTATTTATCTTAACGGTTGCTTATTGATATATTCTCATAAAACTTAGCAAGGAGTTAATTCTAATATGAAGTAACATAAAATTAATTTGTTTGTGCTTGGGCCCAAAGGAAGACAATGTTCTTATTGTACAAAAATAAAAATAAAAACAGCACGGGAATGATACACCAAACTTCACAACTCCCATTAATATTCACTCACAGTTAAGGATAGATTCAGCGGTGGAAAAGAAAATTACAAGTATTCCCTTACAATGTTCATGAGGAAACAAACGAGTCATTCTTGTTCTAAATGTTTCTTCAAATCACCCATCTATTTTTCTGTAGTTGCAGATTTATAAATTCTCTTATACGCTAGTAGATATTTTGGAGGATTTTACTATCTGTAAATATGTTGTAGATTGTCAACAATTCATTCATTTTGTATTCATTTCTTCTTAAATATTATGCAACAAGACATTTTGTTTTAGGCATGTGAACAAAACTTTGGTTACCTTAGGAGTGTTTATACCACTCATCTCTAATGTAGGCTATTTCTTGAAACTAACTTTATTTTAATGAAGACAAAATTACATAGTCTGATAACAAAATCATTTGCCTTGCATAGGTTGCATAATTTGTTCATAGTTTTTTTATTTCAAGATTTGTATTTTTTTATTAGCATTTTCAACACTTTATAAAAAATGTCTCACGTCCATGTAATTGATTTGCTTTAAGTTTTGTGTTTTTCATCTACCGCTATGAATTTATTCACTGCCATTCGTTTAATGTCGTGTTAATAGGGGAGAGTGGTGTAATTTTGTTCTTTACCTTAGGTTAAGTGAAAGTTATACGCAGTTTGGTCCATAATACTCCACTGCAATAATCGTACGGTTTGTAGTTTACCAGATCCAAGCCTAGAGCTGCACAGAAATGTCTCTACCATCACGATTAAGATTACGATGTGTGTTCATCTTAGCTTGAATGTAACGTTGTGATAGTTTGTGACAACACAGGATGTAAATCAATCATGGTGTTCATACCTTAGTATCTGGTACAGTTTTTCTAATAAAGGTATAATCTTTTTGACTTTTACCTTTTTTTAATCCCTTTCCAGCTGTATCTTGTGAATATACCAATACGATATAAATATAGCCTCTTGAATGGACCATCACAAAGTAGTTTTAACACTGCCCTGCCCTACAAGCCAGGACGAGGGTTGTTTGTAAATTCAGGTCAAGGTAATATCCTATGTATTATCATTAGTCTGGCCATAGTAGATGAAAACTTAGTGTGGGAAAATCTCTAAATATGACAATATAAAATAGGTTTATGTCGTCTATCCTAGTTTAGTCTCAGGCGACTAGTTTCGAAGCAGTTGTTTGGTTGTCAAAGAATATTTCTAATCGCACATTTAACTAGACATTTAGATCACAATCACTTTGTATAAACGCGTTTTGCGGCTCGAAAACAAGTCAGCATAGAAGTTTTCTTATAACGCTTTTCATTGAACAATTTTAGTCAGATTACAAACACAAATATGTTTATTTACGCAACTGTTTTATTTTAAAACTGAATGAATCAAAAGAAAAAAGTAAGTAGATCTGACTAGTGTTTGCAAATATCCTCAACACTATGGCTTTGGCTATAACTACATTTGGAAAATCTTATGGATCTTCTTCTCTGGTTTCCTTCAAAAGCCTCAGCGGAGTGATTTTGTTAGGTTTTTGAACTTGAACATTTGGCTTCAAGAGTTTGATATCAGTTTTGGTTTTCATCTTAGCTGGTGTTTTCTTTATTTTTTAAGTCTCGTCTTGACACTTTCGATACAGGATTTAGTGTACAACATCATAAAAGAAGCTATCTTCAACATCTGATAAGTGAAGAGATCGATCACCTGCATCTCTTGATTTACATCAGTACCGTATGTCCATATTACAGATGTCATACGCGCCGCTGCATAGTAACGAACGAAAGCATGGGAAGGTAGGCCTACACTAAGCTTACGTAGCCGCCGGCAGCCCACGCCCGCAAGCTGTAATTCAACTTGCCCAGGTTGGAATTACTATGTTATACACAGTTCCGTCATACGAGTGGCTAGTGCCTGTACTCTGTCTCGAGCTTCACTCTCCAGCTGTCTTAGTATTAGCCATCATAGTTAAGATGATACAAAAACTGTTTTCAACCCATATATTTTGCAAGCGGTCAATTCCTAGATAGGTTCATGCATCGTACGGTTAGTTATTCAAAATGGTTAGTCAAAGTTACTATTACAGTTACAAGAGGATTTCATCAGGTCAACATGAATGGGGTTGAATCTTGGGAAATATTTTGTTATAGAAATACCACAATATAACGGAATTAAAGGTATAAAAATGCACGCAGAATATTTCACAATTGTGATCCCATAATGTGACCTAATAACATAGTGAAACTACAACTAACCCTCAATATACTAATCTCTTTAGTGATAAATTCTATCCCTGAAAACTATTTGCCTATTACTAAATAAGTTGAGGGTAAGAGTTTCAAAAGTGTATGCAAAGGTAAAAAGAGGCATAGGTAGTTATTACTAAAATAAATTTATTTGACATTTATTAAATTAAAACATTAAAATTTACAATCTCTATTATCATTACAAAATAGTTTGAAATAATGTATACATCGACTATGTTTTAAACTCCAATTCATAAATAAAGTTAATACTATTAATTGTATTTATGATATAAATAAATACATATATTCCATGCATGCCCCATTTTTGCAAGCTATAACACACCGACTTGTACAATGAGGAAGAGAGAAAGATAGGTTTTCCACCTTCGTCTACTTGAGCACAGAAAAGGCATTGCTCGGAACAATAAATCTATTTTTGACCTCAAGGCTCTCGGTTTAGGTGCTGTTCGTAGGCATTTCAAGGAAGCATTTATAAATTAAGGATGAGACAAATAAATAATAAAACACATTGATTGGTACACAGGTGATCTTATGATTAGTACAACTTTTAGCTAGAAGCAGGACTGGGTCTAAAGATTTTGAGTTTTCAAGTAAAATTTAAATTATTCATATTAGGGTTCGGAATTGGTTCTGAAATTTACTTTTTAGCTGATTTCTCATACGGGGAATATTGTATTAGCGTAGGCCTCGTTTTCTAGACTACCATGGGTAGGGTTAATGGGGGTAACAATAGGTTTTCTTGCATTTTACCTTCAAATATTTACAATTTCTTTCCAAACTATTTCTTAAAGTTAAAAAAACAAATAATTTAGTATATTGAAGCGTTGTTGGATAGTTATTAATTACTTTATTGACACTGAAAGATTAGTTAAATAGTTATTTGTGCAACTAGTGAGCAAATTAAGCAATTGACTCACTCGAGAGAAATCCTTACTCACGAGCCGTAGGCGAGCAAACACAATCTAGAGTTTTGGCTGAGAAAATCATCAACGTTTGTTCGTCACTGAATAACGTAGAATTGGAACTAAACTAACGTGGTATTGGCACAGAAGGGGCAGACAACCCCCTCCTTTGTCAGGACCATGTTAGTTAACTTTTCTCCCAGTAAAAAAAGGAAGCACCCATCTTTGTACGATGTCCAATATGCAAAATTCTTGATTCTGCCAGACAGATGGTGGAGTTTCCAGTTCAAGTGCTTTGTCTTTTGCTCAAATGATCCAGAGGTTATGGGATACATAACCAGATTCCAACAAATGAAAAATTATATTGAAGAGGAGGTTGGTGGGTTGCTAGTGGTCTAGTGCTTCTCGGTTGTTTCACCGATGATGATATCTGGTACTACGTTCTACTATGGCAACTCGGAAACACAGCCATCATCGAGACTGAGGGACATGAAGGCGTCGTGGACACAGGCTGCATAACGTGAATGAAGGTTTGTGTAGCATATCACTCAAGGTTCTAGAAACTGCTAGAACCACAATGGCGTACACAATGAGAAAAAAGATTCAAGCTTGGGAATCTTGTCTCTATTGCAATGAAGACAACAAACTCCACAACCAGACTATGAACCTCTGTTTGAATTTCGGATGATGTTTTTGGCCTCTGCAAATCGGTCCGGGTCCAGGTCTTACCATGAGAGCTACAGTAATTGCTTATTCCCTATATGGGAAATTTACTGAAAAACCAAACAGCAACAAAATACATTTACAAACAACCACTCAATATTGTTATCGTATGTAAAAATCTCTGCTCCTAACCCACTCCAACTTTTTTATCCGTCTTTAGATCCAGTCCTAACTTAACAAATAAATCAAATACAATATTTACTTAGATGTCTTACAGAGTAACAATCTTTATGGGTTTTTGTCAAATATTCTGATTTTGTATGATTTCTTAGTGAACAATGATGAACATAAATTAATTCTTAGAACCACTTTAGGACATAGCCACACTGTTAAACAAAATTAAGTCTTAAAGTAATTTACCCCTTTTCCATGGATTATAATTAGGTTCAATATACATAGGCCAATAGATGCCGTAAATAAAATTAATAAACAACAAATAAAACAGTGCAAGTTAAAAGCAAAGGATACATAACATATGGTGAGAACTGAGAAGTTTGAGCAATGTGTCTTTTGAATTTTCTTACGATTAAAACAACATACAGGAATAAATGTCAGTTCGGAGTATAACATTTATAGGGCTTACTGATTCTGTTTTTCATGACAGTTTTGAAATATCATATCTACAGGGTTCCCACAATAAAATATATAGTGAATCCCTTGCTGCCCACGGCATATATTTTTCAGAACTTAAGTAATCTCTGCAGCGATTATCTCATTTCTACATAACAAATCATTAAAAAAATTAACACAATCCATTTAAGTTTTATGAAATTTCCCTGCCTTGACATTACTTTCAAAAATTTACCCTGAGTTGCGGTCTGTTTTAAAAACTTTCACTGGCCCTACACATGTTTCCCTGACTTTACAGATCCGTGGGAACTATATGTTCTAATACAGTGAGCAAACAAATTAGCTTCAATGGTGCTTCATTTACTGGATCATGTGTATAAACGTTTAACATTGAGCTTAAGTTCTAAATGAAGACAAAAGAATTCCAACCATAGAGAAAGAATAGATAAAACAATACGAATGTGTGGTTACAAATGAAATCAACTGATGGTGTGTTCATTCAGTTTAAAAAGCATTAAAACTGATCGATCGAGCAGAAGCTGTTTTGTTCCAGTAATGGAGCAACTTAACCCTCTTAGTGTTTTGTGTCGATTTTTCGACTCACAAACACTGTTTACGGCGAAGGCTCTATGACTGACAAAATCGGATTGAACTGGATCGAGTTAGATATCGTTTTATTTGGCAGACTAAGCGCTTTTTTCTCTCGAGCCGATCTTAATTGTAGCAGACAGCTGACGTGCGTAAACAGCTTGGTTAACCTCGCACCGATGACTGATGTGTTTTATTACGTTTATCATTGTTTTAGTGTTAAAAATCAAAAGTGGTGATATACGTGGTGCATTATAAGAAGAAGATTTAAGTGATTTTGAAGGGCTGGTTGATGATCCTGAAGAAGTAGGTAGTGATATTGATGTAAATTATCACCCAGATTCCTAGCTATGGTTAGGCTATGCATTCTTAGCTAAACGCTATGTACCGAAATCTGTTTTTTGCCCATAACTTATTTATTTGCAAATCTACTTCCTTATATTACTATATTTTTGGAATCCTCATAAAATTTAGAACAAAGTGGCTATTTTCAAATATTTATAGGCCTATAATTTATACAATTTCATTGAGCGCAAACTTATTTTTTTTTTTTAATTTTCCAAAATATATTTTTTTACCTAAATTTTTTTTTTTTTTAACAAATGTTCCTTATGTTTTATGTATAATATTTAAGCCCATGATTTTCCAAACAAAATGGTATATAGAACAGTATAATTAACATGGTTTTTAAGCTTCTCAGATCCGTTTTAATAAAACCTTGCAAATGCGCAAAAAATAGGCAGACATTAAGGCCAAAACTAGGGACACTCGGAGGGCTAAAATAATTGTGATCACCTAAAATACCAAGTTGACCAGGAAATTTGGGTTACAATTACAGAGTGCCATTTCACAACTATTTCTCTTCTATTGGTATATTCGTCCTACGTTTACAAAATGAATGAGATTTTGTTTATTTAGCATTAGTGAGAGTTACATATACATAATTAAGATGGCCAATAATGGTGGAAAATGCTGTAGGCTTGAGTATTAAAAATGCTTCATTACATTTTGATTAGTTGAATATTTTTTTCATACAGTTACCTAACAATGTACATGTTCTCTCACTGATTTAAGAAAGCAAAGTGGCCAATTCGCTCATCAGTGAGACAATGTTAACATTGTCTCACTCTATATTACTTTGTCTCACTCACTCCAGATTTGCAACGTGAAGGCACGAAATAGTGAGCGCGTAACATGCAGACAAGGTCTTATGCGCGCGAAATACGTTGGCAGCACTGGTTGTAAATCAACTGGTCAGCTGGTTGTACTCTTGTATCATTAAATGTAATATTACAAGTTCACTTCTGTGTAAAAATATGTCACGTTTCTCTACTAATTTATTTGTTTTATGGTAACTGTAGGAAAAATATAATGTGCAACTCGAGTGCAAAGTGCAATTGCCTCACTCGATAAATTATTCCTCACTCGCCAACGGCTCGTGAGTATTTCTCTCGAGTGAGTCAATTGCTCCCTTTGCTCACTAGTAGCACAAATAACTATACATTATAGAGCTTGATTAATTAATGTTCAAGGTTTTCAATAAATAGTAATTTGTAGTAACTCATACATGCGTCTGATTTTATTGTTTTGCCATCAAGCATGGTACAATACCCCAAATGACCCAAATCTATTAAGCCTCTTCTAAATGTGCGCAGTTGTAAAGGCAAGATGTGCGTATGTGTCATGTTTAGTGATGTGCGTCAAAATTTAACTCCAATCATCCTGAATAATAACAAGCACTCGAACACTTAAAAAGTAACAAAGCAAATCTATCATGTTTATAAGATAAAATAATTCATTTGAATATTTGAATTATGAGCCTACAAAGGATGTAAATTTGTCTTTTATCAGTTTAAGATTTTGATTTGTCTTTAGGCGAACAAAATTATGCAGAGTAAAAAAATTATTACAATAATAATAAATCGTTCTATAAAACTAAATATTATGAGGGACAGTGTGCAGATTGTACTAGTTGGAAGACTTATAAGTTTCCTGTTTTAGCTGGCTTATTTATGGATGGAATACAGTTTTTAATTTTTACCATACAAAGTGATAGTTCAAGTTAATATTGAGGGTGGAATTGAACAAACCAAACAGTTTGAAATATGTTTACAAAAGACACATTGCCACAAACTCAAAAGAACACTTAATACTAATTGGGTTTATGAGTTAATTTCCAAGAAGTTGCCATGGTTAAGCTATTTTTAGACTACAATTTAGACTAATATATTACCTTATTTAAATGTCCTTAAAGCTGTATTTATTATGACATTCTTCTAATAGCTAAGGCATAAAGTTTACGGAAAAATTGTCATACATAACATACATAACATACATAATTATTTGATTAATGGGATAAAAACCACCACTGACATAAGTTTTTGGATACTGGCTGGCATAGGCCTAGAGATAGTTTAGTACCTCAAATAATTTATTTTTACTGTTAGTAAACTATAGAAGACTTAATCAACTTTCTGATGGGCTTAAAAACAATATTTTTTTAGAGAATTGGGGGAAAAGTCAACAATATTCAATTACATCAGAGAGAAGACAAAGAAAGAAATCAAATGTATAATGGTAGCGTTTAACTAATACTAGATTTTTTATGTTTGACATATACAATAGACTTGACTGAATTTTTAAAATCCAACCATTAATACACATAACTAAATTGTATTAGTAGTGTTTTACACTAGCAGTTTATAAATAAAATAAAAAATAAATGTTTACATATATTAAATGATTAATATTTTTTAAATGTGTTATACAAAGGTTCTAGGGAATAACAATCTTAACGTAAAGGCTAAATCAGAATTAATATAAATAATTAAACATTTTAAAACATTCTGATTCATAAACATAGTTCTAAGGGTTATTTAGATTTGATCCAACAGAACGAATTAACATAGTGACTGTTTGCGGTGAGGTAACAGACCTAACTTAAGGAAATTTATTCTCAATTCCATTTCTAATTTTAAAATAATTGGACTTGAGAATCAACCATCTACAATACAACACAATCACAACAAAACAAATACATGTAAACACTTCCCTGTTTTGCCTAAAAGAGCGAGAGTAAATTGTTCTATTATCATTCAGTTTTACTGTGGTAACTAATTTCAATTTTACAGGGTCCTCCGTTAATTCCTCCACGAACCCGATAGTCAATATTGACCTAAACAATCGGTAGGATGATGAATGTTTTATTGCATTAATATTGTGAAAATGAAGTAGAAATTGAGCAAACATGAAACGACGTGTAAGGCGGCGCTGTGATTGTCCTATCAGGCTACGCGACACAGAACGACTATGTACATTACAAATTACGTTACTGTTATTGCACAAGACTCTTCTCTCCACCGACTGACCGATCCGTCCGTTACTTAAAGTAATACACATTAAATTATTTACGAATTCAAATATACAAATACCTAAGGTAAAATTTCAGACTTATAACTGTTTAGAACAGCGAAAGTAAAAAATAAAATATTTGGACGGGTAATAAAAAGATAAGACTTGATCCCTCCTGTCTCGATCTTGCAGAAAACGGGACAAAAGGGAACGTGTCACTTAACGATACGATCAACAACAATAATAACTGGTAAAACATTTTAAAATATTCTCAAATCTAGATTTTGATACACTTAAAAACTCTATGAGTCGGTATTTACATAAGACTCTCCACGTTTAATAAATAAGACGATATAAATATTTGGAATCCGCACACGTTCGGTGATATCACTTTGGAGTATTGGTAGCAGCGCTTACTACGACCATGGTAGGCTTTACCAGAAACTGTGGTTGTATCACTGGGGGGACTTGACTGATGCTCTTGAGTATAGGAGCTGCCATCACCTACACAAACAACACAATAAGAGAACATTGAGTATAGGAGCTGCCATCACCTACACAAACAACACAATAAGAGAACATTGAGTATAGGAGCTGCCATCACCTACACAAACAACACAATAAGAGAACATTGAGTATAGGAGCTGCCATCACCTACACAAACAACACAATAAGAGAACATTGAGTATAGGAGCTGCCATTACCTTCACAAACAACACAATATGAGAGCATTGAGTATAGGAGCTGCCATCACCTACACAAACAACACAATAAGAGAACATTGAGTATAGGAGCTGCCATCACCTACACAAACAACACAATAAGAGAACATTGAGTATAGGAGCTGCCATTACCTTCACAAACAACACAATATGAGAGCATTGAGTATAGGAGCTGCCATCACCTACACAAACAACACAATAAGAGAACATTGAGTATAGGAGCTGCCATCACCTACACAAACAACACAATAAGAGAACATTGAGTATAGGAGCTGCCATTACCTTCACAAACAACACAATATGAGAGCATTGAGTATAGGAGCTGCCATCACCTACACAAACAACACAATAAGAGAACATTGAGTATAGGAGCTGCCATCACCTACACAAACAACACAATAAGAGAACATTGAGTATAGGAGCTGCCATCACCTACACAAACAACACAATAAGAGAACATTGAGTATAGGAGCTGCCATCACCTACACAAACAACACAATAAGAGAACATTGAGTATAGGAGCTGCCATCACCTACACAAACAACACAATAAGAGAACATTGAGTATAGGAGCTGCCATTACCTTCACAAACAACACAATATGAGAGCATTGTATGTGCTGCAGGGTCTGTGGGTTGGGCCAGGCTTATAAGTAGACCATGGGATTGCATCGCAGCTGAAATGCAATTGCATTGGCTCGGGGGATCGGTTAGGACTGGAAATGATCTGCAGGTTAGGTCTCTCGGGTTAGGTCGAGCTAAATCAACATTTTATTTTTGTGGTTGTAGGAAGCGTCAGCTAAGATGCCCAATGAAAACAGAGGTGTACGGTGTAGTGACGATCGTGGGGTCTCCCCACTGAACACGTCTGTTCACGACTTTGCCGTAGTCTCGAAGGATGTTCACTATTACTCTGTGTAACCAAGAAAGATGATTCAGGATTTTGCCATAATATCAAAGGATGCCCACAATTTTCGTCGAGGCTGTGGAAGACTGCAGAAAAGGTTCTCGATTTTACTAATAACTGCAGTAGATGTTAGTCATAAGAAGACAACTAAAGGAATGTTATTGATATTACTGTTAACTGCTGAAGATGTTCTTGATTTCACCCTTAACTGCAGAAGATATTCTCAATTTCACCGTTAACTGCTAAAGATTTTCTCGATTTTACTGATAACTGCAGAAGAGGTTCTCGTTTTTACTGATAACTGCAGATGTTCTTGATTTTACCATTAACTGTAGAAGATGTTCTCTATTTTACCGTGAACATGGAAGATGTTCATGATTTGCCTGAGACTGTGAAAGATGTTCATGACTTTGCTAGGATCAGAGATTTGATGTGACCGCGGAAGTTGTTAATGATATCACCACGATATGGGGAGCTAAGGTAAAATATTATGTACAAATAGCATTACAATTAGTATTTTTTTTTTTTATCGATACTTTTCAAAGCAACCCAACTTTGGCAGACCCGATTGTTGGCCTCAAACCAGGTTTGACATTGTTTTTTACTCGCAAACCACCAGTTATTGAGCTAGTTGATAAATATTTAAGTATCTTACCTTGTCACTCAGGTGGGTTGGTGCAGCCAAGAGGAATGAACCACTGGACTGGGGCATGACCAGGGAATGGTTCAGGATGCCTGGAGCTACCAGTGTACCACTACTGCTTTCTGTAACACCACACTCAATCAGGGTGTCTAATTTATTTCCATTTTAAAATTCAAGACTAATTCCAGACTTTTCAAGACTAGTTTTTAACAATTTGTGAGTGTCGATACCAAAGTGTATCGATTCTCAATTCTTGATACCGATACCAATATTTATAGTTTAACCAAATTAACTATACAATTTGGTTATACAACACACAACCCTGTCTTTAGGTCATAAAGTATTATTAATATAATATGATGTTTTCAAGTAAAGAAAAATGCAGCAGTGAAAAAATTCCAACAAGCCAATTTGGGGTTTTTTGGGTCATGAAATCTTCTGCTGACGTGTAGACATCATCATTGACTGCGGCGGTCACGGAAACGTCACTGTCGTCGTCCTTGATCGCGGCAAAAGCATGAGCATTTCCCACGGCTGTGAAGACATCACGGTCATCTCCCGCGGTCACGGAAACGTTATCATCGTCGTCCACAATCGTGGCGAAATCATGAACCTTTTTCCGCTGCCATTTAGACATCATTGTCATTTCCCACACTCACGGAGACGTCACTGTCGTCGTCCGCAATCGCGGCAAAAGAATGAGCATTTCCCGCGGCTGTGTAGACATCACCGTCATCTCCCGCAGTCACAGAAACGTCATCGTCGCAGTCCACAATTGCGGCAAAAACCTTAACATTTTCGGTGGCCGTGTAGACATTATTGTCTTTCGCGGTCACATAAACGTCATCGTCGTCTTTCGCGATCGCGGTAAAATCATGAAAATTCCCAACTTTTCCCGACTTTTCAAGACCATTTTGAAATGCAATACTAATTCCCGACATTCCTGTTTTTCCCGACTACTAGACATCCTGCTCAATATAGGCTACAGTGCAAACATCATGACGTCTGAAATTATAAACCCAGTGCCACAAGGTCCAATTAGAATTTAGAGCTATTAACAGTGTTGTCCTGTCTCTAAATTAAGGTCTCCATCGTACTCCCGTTTCAGCCAAGCAGTCTAGTTCAAATGAAGAATTAAATAAATACCCCCGCCGCAGCAAACCTGCCGACTAAGCGAATTTCCATTTGTCTGAATTGATTTTCAGTTAAATATATTTTAATAACATTAGGTTTAACGAGTACCTAGGTTTGCTGCTACAAGGAAACTAATAAAGTGTGTTTTTGAGTAAAATATTGATAGCTTAGTACAAAATAAATAAATTTGCCAAGTTTGATCAAAATATATCCATAAACAAGCAAACTACAACATTTGACAATATTCTCCATAAGAATAACATGGGAATTTTAAATTTACAATTTTTTTAATTTTCTCCGTTACTAACAATCGAACAAAAATACTTTTACATACTAAATTATTTGTTTTTTTAAGCTCTTTAAAAAGGTCTAAAGAGAAATCGGGAAATTTTGTGTTTTGAGGGTCAAAAGTGAGAAAAACCAATTTTTACCCCATAAAACCCCTTGTAAAGCCCCGTTCCCATGGTCCGATCGTGCTGGTTCGCGAACTCATTCAAGTTTATCCCGCTTTACACCTTTAAACTAAATTTCATCAAAATCGGACAAAAATTACTCAAGTTATCGCGTTCACGGACGTATATATATATATATATACATATATAAAAATTTGAACGAATGGTGTTTTTGGCCTCTGGGGACATCAAAATGAAAAAGTAAATCGGTCCCGGGTCTAGGTCTTACCGTGCCACCTACGGTAATAGCTACTTCCCTATAGGGAAATTCGCTAAAAAGTCATATCCCTTACTTTATCCACCTTTCTGGTCAGTTCCCACCCAACAGGACAGTTTGTCTCATCATAGTACAGTAGACTTCCGATTATCAACAATAATAAGTGGCTGACTGATCATGAATAATCAAAAACGTGGATAGTGCAAACATTACCGGTACCTGAAATGCTAAGGAAATTAGAAATTACTAGCATTGACTTAGAATGAATAATTGAACAAACTTTAATACAGGTTTAAGTAATAAAACTATTTAACTGCAATTTAGATTAGATACCTTTATATAAGTAACTTAGTTTCACACACTCTTATATTTTTTGCAAATACAGTAGGACCTCAATATCTCGAATCTCAAAATAATTATAAAATTTTATCATAAAAATTTGAATCATAAATAATTATAAATTGAATAATAAATAATAATAATTTGTATCGTAAATTTTTTTATGAAGAAAAATTCGAGTTATCAAGTTTTTCAAGTTAGTGAAGTACGAGTTACGAAGGTTCCATTTGAAAAAGTTTGAGATACTGAGGTGTTGGGGTCTGACAGTGATGTTACTGACGTCCGACGCTCACAAAACTATCTCAAAAACTGGCAGACTACACTGACTACAGTACCTAGCCAAACAGACACAGGAAGTTGGATTTTCACATCTCGACAGGAATCAAAAACACACATTCGTGGGAACTTCAACCTATAAAGGTAAACTTCAAGTTACTGAGGCTCGATGACGGGAAAATTCGAGTTACAGAGGTAGAAAGTTTTGCTGTTCAAAAGTTAAAATTTGACTAATTGAGGTTAAATATTTAGAAACTTTGACTTATAATTGAGGTTCTAATGTAATACTGGAGATCCTATGTGTAAAGATAATGACAAAAATCAAAACGCACACAAAATGTAACTTTATTTGTTGTAATTAATCGATCAATTGTTGGTGGTCAGTGAAGTAAACAACTACATCTCTATAGTCCCTATTGGCCTCCTCATGCTAAACATCATGTTCAGCACTGTGTGACGTACATTGAACTTGCACAATACATTTTTTATTTTGATCATTAGTGATCGTGGTTATTCCTCTCGCTAATAATCGGAAGTCTACTATATTTAAAAACTTTGCAGAACAAAATTAACGCTCCCCCCGAGTTTAACCGTATTCTGCGATTAGATTCTGATGGTCTCAGGTGTTAATCGCAAACAGAGTTTCCTCAAATTGGGGTTAAAATAGTATTGGGTTAGGTAAGGAACACAATGTTGGTCTACGAATAGCCCTTGTATTAAAAAAATAATACTGAAATAGACTAAATTACCCCTGAACTTACTACAAAAATAGGTGATGGTAAAAGATGTTTTAGGCTAATACAATTTGAATTGGTTACCTTTGTACTGTTTTACAATTCACTATCTAGTTTAAATCATTATGCTTAAAAATCTCAAAAGAAAAGGCCAAGCGGCTAGTTAGGGATTTTTTAAGGAATATAGTTCAGCTACCGAACCTGAGAAGATTAGGAGTCTAGGAGCAAATAGATACACATATAATGTCACAAAACATAACACTGATATTTCACTTTCACTCTGTGTAAGTCTTATTTAGAGAGCAGGTTGAAGAAAAATGAAGAGAAATTATATTAGAAGGGCTTTATAAGAACGAAATATCAGTGTTATGTTTAGTTTTGTTCAAGGAAAGACTCTAGGATTTTGAATTGTAAAAAAAGGAGGATTGCAGCTAGCTTACCAAAAGACGCTACCGACTTAGCCACCGACTCACTAAAATTAGCCCCTGGACTCAAACTTCTGATAAGTTAGCTGAGTTTTATTCCTTTTTAAAAATTCTTCAATATTATTTGGAAGAGCTTTGCGGAGAAAGAAATACTATTTTTAAATATTATTACAACACTATTTCCTATCATTTTTGTTTCTGAGGTGTACATAGAGCTTCATGTGGGTTTCACATGTTATAGTTACTACTAATTATTATAGTCGCTACTCCATACCTGAACTGACAGAGTGTTTGGCAGCCAGAGTTACTGTGCTGTGGTTTATCACTCCATTTTGTATTGTGATACCTAAAATGTACAAATTCTATATTAATCAATTTAAAGAAAGTTTGTATATGTAAATTAGATGAATACAAATTAACTAAAATACGCATATGGAATTCCCATAAAATGAAAGACATGATTGGTAGGTATCCATTATTTGATATTTTACACAACTCCTCCTAATCTATTCAGCCAATTTACTTATTTGGAAACTTTTCATAATTTGTTTAATCAACGAAAGAGAAGAACCTACTGGTGGATTAAAGTTTTAACGCTTCATAAGAAATTATACATTCATGAGCTTCATTAGCATTGGAATAATTCAATAGAAACATCTGTAAACGTTTGATTTCACTAAACATGGCTTCTACTTGTATTCATAAGGTTCTATAGTGATTTTTTACAATCAATACTGACAAAATTCATAAGCTCCGTTAAAGTTACATTTGGAGTAGCCAAATAACACTGACATTTGGATTGACTGTATTTCACTGTCTTGTAAAATTATGTAGATGATCAGACTTTTATCAGATATGAGATAATGTACAAAAAATAAAGTGTTTTTTAAAATTTACTTCTGCTTATTTACACGACCCAAGTATTATAAAAAATATCTAGTTTTTGAAAACACTATTGATGGTGTGCAATACATCAGCTTAAAGAGTAATAGTTAGTTAGCTGATGGTACCAGCTTGCATTAGACTTATGTCTACCAGCTGTATTATTCTACAACTATATTCGTTGAGTTTGTTTGGAAACTAGCTGGTCAAATAAAGTAACAACAAATTCATAGGGACCAGCATTAGTTAAAAAAATTAAAATGAAAGGAAAAACCAATTAAGGAGGCATGGATTATTATTGAGTGAAACTATAGAAATATCAGAATTCATCAGGAGGTCAAAGGGCTACTAGGGGTGGCAATGGGAGTCTTACCGCCCTAAGACTTCACAGCCCTAAAGTTGACACAGACATAAGCAGAGAATCCCTTACCGTTAAGTTTTCATAAGGTGATTTAAACGGAAGTAGTTAAGAGCAGATTTCCTCTTTACGTTAAATCTGGAGGCTTGGACCCTTTAAACTACCCTTGTTAAATATTTTTTATTTTTTTTTATTGGTTTGACCAAAACCGTCACTCATACAACCCAAAAGAGAATAACTTTAAACAGATTATGAGAGTTTACCGGTAGTGGGGATGTGAGAATGTACAAAGTGGGTGTCAGCTGGCAGCATACGGATGGTGGTGGAAGGCAGTAGTTGCTGGATAGGACTCATCAGGAGGTTTGGAGGTCCTGGACTGTTCATCACCTACAACATAACAAAAATCATAAGACATCTCATAGCTGAAAACGTCAGCTACACAGCTTCTGGGGGCACGGCTTCATCATCATCGTCTCTTACATCATACACAATCATGGAGGAATCGTCAATTTTAGATAGGGAATCTTCACAGGCGCTTTCTGAGAACACAAAAAGAGCTCGGCTTGACCTGACCGGGTTTGCCCAATAATTATTCTAAGAGGTACAAAAATAATTTTACACAAAATGCATTGAAGGACATTGGCATAAGTTATGTAGCCGGTCTAGATCATACCTGTGGGTGATGAACATGAGATTGCATCTCAGGGACTGCGGAGTGGAGGGGAGAAGCACTAGACAGAGACGAAGTGCTACTGTACATGGTGCTGGTTCTCACCAACTCATCTTCACTGCCTGTCTCCGTCATCCGACTGTTCATCAGTTCACCTACACAGACAGGTAGTATCAATAATCCAACACGGCTGCAATGACAACTAGTTCCAGTTCCCATAAAATAACACCTAAACAATATTTGTGTGGATGTATGATCCTAAATTTATATTATAGCAAAAATAGTGTTGTAATACATACAAATTAAACATTTTTCGATATATTTAATAAATTTACAATGTCCAATATATCACCTTTGTATATGCCTAATGGCAAATTTACTGTTTTAGAAGTGTTATTCTGGTGTGTTTTCAAAGCCAATAGTATACGTATTGAGGTTGTATAGCCAATAGTCTACCCTACAGTTCCGCTAGTCTGGATTTCAGGCTAATACAAAAGTTTACTGTATTGAAATTGAAAACAAAACTAGGCTTTTGAAATGTTAGCTGACAAGAAAAACTGAGAATCTTATATGAATTTTTAAACCAGTGTCCGTGATTGGTTTGAAATTAGACAAGGAAAGAGCATTAATTTATTAACAGCTTTCTGTTAGTACATAGACATGTAGTAAGAGCGAGACTGTGCACCACAATCACTCTGTTGCCGTGATTAAAATACGATAACTTTGTTTGGATATTACTGTTTTTTGGCTTCCCTGTGTTATTATACTCACTAGCTCTCCTAGGCTCAGGTTCCACCACCTCAGGCAGGAGTGTGTTGAGATCAATGTGCTCCCACTGAGCTGTCAGTTCCTTTTTGAGGGTCGCTAGTTTCTGCTGATAAGCGATCTTCTCCCGAGCTAATCTCTCCATCTCATGCTCAAACTCCCTCTCCTTCCTCTTCAGAACCTGAACATCCACAAGTTGAAAGTTACCCTAGATCCCCACTAAGTTGTTTAAGTATAATTCTCAGTTGTATACGGGTTGTCACAGTCAAATTTATATTTTTTGTGCTGTTAATAAGGGTCAAAGGTCATAGGCAATGTGGAATCACAGTGTATCATAGCAGACCTCAGACAGTGTAGGGATACCACAACAATGTTCCAGTCAGATCGGATGTGATTTTTGGCTAATTTAAGATACTAGCGGCTAAAAGCTCAAGAGTGATCCAGCATCAAACCATAAATCAAGCTAAAGCTCTTAAAATAAAAGTCTGCATAGTTTGAATATTCTCAATATTTAAATTCTTCATCTTAAGGTTTGGAGCAGACCTCAACAGGGAGGAAAGAGAAGTAGTGACTTGTGTGCGTGAGCTTTAATCATAGAGGAACAAGCGGGAATCCCTGTGTGTGTGTGTTTGTTAAAAGGAACATTCGCAGAAGGGCCAGAATAGGCTGAGTGTTCGGATAAAAACATTGAATACTTGAAACAACTGGATATAAGAGCAGCTAGTATTTTAGGAACCCTGTTTGTAACGATTCTTATCACATCCCAGAAAGAAAAAGGTTGTAAAACGGAGTTTAACCATAAATATAAATAATCTTACAGCGATGTATCTAATGGCATTGTGTAGAATGCTAAGATTGGAAGTTTTTTTCTCGTCGGGTGAGGGAGGGAGTTGCTTCTTGAGAGTCTCGAAGCATTCCTTGAGGTGAGCTCTGCGGTTCTTCTCCAACTTGTTGTGAACCTCTCTAATGACTGACCTAAAACACAAAAACAACAACCATAAGAGTTTATGTTCAAATTAACTTGCATCTAATTGCAACAATAGAGATGAAATCCAGCTTGCCATTCAAAGGATTTAGATTTCATACAAACAATAAAAGATTAAATATCGATCACAGGTATAAAACTAGCGAGATGCCTTGTAATGCTTTGTCTTAGACCTGCATTTGTAGATTGTTATCATTGCTGATGTTTTATGATTTTTTTAAATCAAAGACCTGGGATCTAGTTAGAAACTGCCACAAAGGACCTAACATTTTGATTGGGATGCAACCAGTAATTTTCATTAAAATGTCTATTTCCTACAACTAAAATGTTTTAGAGATATGACAAATTTAAAAAGAAAATAGTTCAAACTAACGCAGAAAGAGGGGTGCGCAACAAGCTGGCTCCTTCCACATGAGATAAGATAAACCCCTCTGACTATTGTAGATGAGCTGGGATCGAACCTGTCACCTTGCCAGATGCAAACCACCCGGTGTGTTATTGTTAAACAGATAAGCAAAAGTGTTGTTGGAAAATTAAAAGTTATTAATAGGTTTAGAACATTGCTCCCAGCAAACATCAAGTTGAGGTTGGTCAAATCCCTGATTTTCCCTACCTTAAATTACTGCCTACCTGTTTTTGGATACAGTTTATCACAGGAACAGATCACTATACTACACAGGCTACAGAATTGCTCTCTAAGGTTCGTATACAACCTTAAAAAGTATGACCATATCACAAGTCACCGTAGTATGTCGAATACAATTTCCGTCCAGGAGAGCTGTGATAAGCAGGTTGTCTGTATCGTCCACAAGACACTTATCACTGAGGCACCGCAATATTTAAAGGGAAAACTGAAAGCGAGGTCGGCCGTGAGAGAGCGCAGAACTAGACAGGACTTGTTGCTTGACATACCAAGGGTTGTTCTTGATGCTGGTAGAAGGGGGTTTTCTTACTTCGGGCCGGCTCAGTACTGGGCAATTCCACGGTGTCGGACGTAGATTTCAGACACATTTTTCTGCTATTTTAATGCTTTAAAATTACTTTTTGTAAAAAACCTTAATCTTTAGTATTTTTATTTGAAAGAACAGTTCTTTAAGAACATTTTCATATGTAACATTTTTTAAATTTTAAAATCTTTAATGGCTAAAAAAAATTTTTTCTGCGGTGTCGGACGTAGAGTGCACAAAATCGATATTTCTTTTTTCCTTATTTGACTTTAAAAATCTGTGAATTTTAAAGAGATAAAACAACAGAAAAAATCATGGATGTAAAGAAACTTATTAGCTTTAAAAAGAGCCTAGGTTCAAGTTTTTTGGTTCAATAGTTTTGACACAAAAAAAAATCTCCTACGGTGTCGGACGTAGAATTTTTGGTGTCGGACGTAGGTTGTGTGATTTTTTTTTAGATTTACAAATAATAGGTAGTAATTAAATGTAAAAAAACGTTCACAATTTTATATGAACCCTTTTAAACATTTATTCATGCATTTAAATGAGCCTGAGCAAATAAAATTACTAAAATCCTCTATACCTGGGTTTAAAATATTTAAATTTCGAACATTTACGTTGCACAATATGGTTTGACATTTTACCTTCAGGGAAAAAGTAAAAGACTGATAAACACTTTACATCTTTTATTAGATATTTTGCTTATTTAACTTAAAAAAGTTACAGCTTCTTAATTCCTACAAATTACCCATTCTCTACAAATTAGTCTCTTTAAAAAAAATAATGAAATGAAAAATTCATGGGCACTTTGGGTTATATGCCTAAAAGTAAGACATGAGAAAATGTGTTCAAGGGAGCACATCTGGAAGTGGACCGATGATACTTTTAAATTTATAGTGGTCTCTTGTTCCTCCGTAAGGTTCAGGAGGCTCAATTTTCTTCACAATGTCTTTGGCTTTGTACATAATACAGTCTTCATCAGTTGGCCAGAAATAGTATGCACCTGACTTGGAGCAATGCATTACTTTCACTTTGGCTTCATTTTGTTCAACACACTGTACTTCACCTGGATAGTAATCATTATCGTATTTAACCACAACCCAGTCTTTTTGAGGCACTAAATCCTGAAGGTTTAGGTAATTTCTCTCTATTTCTACGCTCGCCATACTCCTGTTCTGAGTCATCACTGTCCGAAGACTCCGGATTTTGAACAATTTTTACTTTTCTTTTTACTAAATCGTCGCTTGTGTCGCCTACAATTAAGAAGATTTAAAGAAGATTTAAGAGATTTAATAACCAACAGTTAGCAAATGTTATGTATTTTTTTTTACTTTTGAAGCTTACAAAAACTTATAAATTTGGGTGATATGTTTTTATTTATGTTTAACAATGGGGGTGTGGGATAAATTTTACATCTAACTAAACTGAAAGGTTCCTTAGTGCAGGTTAATTGAGTACTATGATAAAAACTCAACTTATGGTTTTATAGTATATGCAGCATGTTACGGTATTTAACATACACTACCCAATTTTAGTACTTTGGTGTCGGACGTAGAGTCGGACGTAGGAAATATTTTCTACGTCCGACACCATGATTAAAAAAAAACCATACATGATAGATTTTTTTCCAAACATGGATCATTTAGACCTATGTAAACTTGCTTTGCATACTAGTTTTCAAGCTTTAAAAAAAATCCCTCTAGCCACAGTAAAACTAAACGTACATTTTTGGTGTCGGACGTAGAATTTAATCTTTCTTAATGTTAAACATCTGTAGGGAGGACAGAAAACCTTTTTCTTAATTCTAAATTGCATTAATATTTAGCTTTACTCTTAAACTATCAAAAAAATAATTCATAAGGCTTATTTGAGTAAATTTTGTTTGTTGGTTATGAAAATAACCAACATGGTTGTAAATCGGAGTGAAAAAAAAAAAAACGGTAGTCCATAAAAAAACATGTATATATTTTTTATTTATTTATTTTTTTTGTAACCAATGTTATGAGTGGAAAGCTACACTAACGAGCTTTCCAAAAATGTATAACAGTAATGGGTTTGATAAAGTTGGCAAAAAAGTATAGAGGTTGACCATTTTATGGAATTGCCCTACAATGCACTTCCTTGTACACTAAAAGCACTGTCTTACAAACAATTTAAAACTCGCCTGAAGAATTTGTAATTACATTTTTATTTTGTTTTGTAGTGTTAAGAATTTTTGTTTAGTTTTAATCCTGACTTGAGTCAATTTGTAAAACAGTATTGTTACTGAAATTCGCTCATGAATAAAGACCTTATTTATTTATTTATTTTATATTTTGTACGTAAACCTTACCCATGTTTTGGCAGATTGGGAGGAGTAGGGATCCGGCTGGAATTGATTTGAGGGTGAACTCCATTATGAACTGGTACTTCTTTCAGCTCATTTGATTCTTCTGAAAAAAAATCAAATAACCAACAGTTTAATCAATTTGAGTGCATTAAGGTAGTTTTTTTAGCTTATTATTTCCTAAAACTTTACTTCGGTTATTGCAAACACATCTATTTGACAAAACCACACTAACATTCTCTTTAGATTTCTTATATCCTAAAATAATGTATAGACTTAATGAATCGTGGTAAAAAGGTAACCAACCAACCAACCTTCTAAAAGAATAAATTCAACTCCCTCATATGTTCAGGTAGAAGCGTTGCAAGGTTTGACATTATGGCTCTGTGTGTGTGACCAGCTGTAGATGTAAATGTATTGTATGGTAGAATAGATAATAAATGTTTATCAGGCCTACTTGGCTGTTAGCTAGTTGAATATAAAAAATAACTTATACACACACGATTAAGTCATCAGGCCTAGTTTTTAAACCTAGCGCTCTGTTTAGATTAAGAGGTAAAAACTAGCTATCGGTGATATTGTCTCCACATAAACTTACTGGCACCTACTGTGTGAAAATTTGATAAAATACTGTACCACTATTATATATCAAAAGATTTATTAAAAGACAAATATTATTTATATTAAAAATTATTTTTGTTTTACCCTACTACTATTAAATACTGAAAATAAAAATAACACATAAAAATTAGAAAATTTGAAAGCCAAACTAGTTGTTATTCTTCAATGGGAATGTAGGCTTAAATATATTTTCTCAAGGGAATTGTATTTGATAACATAAGCTTAAAAAATTATATTTGATAACATAAGCTTAAAAAATTAAATATTAATTGTGAGTATTCCAGCTTGTGGATAGTTATCTAAGTTTGAGGAATGTTAGTGAATATATTTTTAGGCTAGCAAGCTGGCCGGTGCCTTTGCCAGAAGCTTGTTTGTAATCTCATTGCCAACAATATCGTACCATCTGTTATTTATTAATATCACCCAGATTTCAGGAATTCATTTGACAAATCAAATTTTAAATTACTGCACAACATTTAAGCTGAGTAGACATTTTTTTTTAATGTACGTTAACCTTTTAGGCGTACAGGAAAAGGTAATGGTCCCAATATTATTTGTCCATTGCCTTACACAATCAATATTGGTTTAATTTCCGAATCAATAAATAAATTAATTATTGTTTAGGCCTATAGAATAGTGATTTAGTTTAAAAGATATATTTTAATTGTATATTTTACTTAGAATAGGAAATAAGTTCATTTAAAACTGTATTTCACCTCTAAAATTGAATTTCATTTTAGAAAATACACAATTATTTTACAAAAATACACAAAACTCAACAATAATGTAGAAACCCCACTTATCCTCGTTGTGTAATTTTATAGATTCGATATGGCTTAGGTATTTTAGAGACTTGTTAATTGATCGTTCATAAGCAGAGGAAAAATTTCAAATCCCTATTAAACAGATTTGAAATTTACTAGGCCTACTAACTATTAAATATCAATCAAACAATGCAATTCTAATCTACATAGGCCTGTGAGGATTTCTTTTTAGATTTCAAGCTGAAGGAAGGAATTTTCGCCAAGGGTTTCATAACTTTTGTATATAATACAAAAAATACATTTCAGCTACCTATTAAATGATTTTTTTAAACATAATTTAGATGTACAAAATTTACTCTCAGCATATTACAAATAAATTAGTTTTGTCATCAGATATAGGCTACTGTAGAGTTTTATTTAAAATATGTTCTACAAACTTAAACTTTTGATGTCATTAAAAATTAAGTTTGTAAATGAAATCCTAAAGGTCAATACTATTAAAACAAGGATAATAGTTTAGTATGTACATTTATAGAAATATAGGCCTACATGACAGTTAATGTACTATGCCTAATGTAAATTTGTTGGTTTCAGTATGTGTAGTGATTGTTTCAGATTGTTTGGCAAGTGTCTTTCACAGGTCTCCGACTCTTTCTTTTGTTGCAGAAAGAAACCAAGGTCAACAACTACCTCAGGAGGAACCCCAGTAGATGAAGCCTTTTTTGCAAAATTACTTAAATCTTTTTATAAGTACTTTAAACTGGTTTATTTAATAGGCCTACATTTCAGCAAAGGCAATTTAAAACTTTAAATTTTAACTGCAAGGATTGGTGTTCAAAACAGTTATTGTTAGCTACTTAAATTGCATAAGTCATATTGCATTCTCTAAAAACTTATTTAACCAACAATAAGGATTTAATCTTAAAACTGTCAGTACGTCTGCACTGGCCCAATTTATTTAGCCTAATAAGAAATTTTTTCTTAGGCCTGTGGGAAATGATTCTTCAAAAACCAACCTCTCAAGATTACAGCAAAAAAAATTAACATGTTTTACATGTTCAACCTAAAGTGGTAAAAACAGTGAATTGTGGAAAAACTTGTAATTTACCTTTTTGCAAAGGTATGTTTTTAAGGTTTAATTTACTTAATAAGGGCTGGCATGTTACTCTATAGGTGTACTAAAGGAAGAACGTGGCATACCACAAGGCTAACACTAAAATAATATATAGGCCAATAGGCCTACTTAACTAATGGCGTGACAACGTAACATTTTTTTCATACGCCTAATCATTTATCAATTAAGTTAGTTTAGGATAAAACAATATAGGCCTATATAGGACAGAAACAAAAGTGCATGCTTCCACCGGTTCCCTTTTATAATGTCACTTTACTCTCTTAAAATTACCAATTTATAAACTTTTTAAAATGGGCCTGATTAAAAGCACTTTATTTTAGATATGAATATGCCTACATGTCGTATGAATCCTTCTGTCAATCGGTGAGGTGATTTAAGTTGCAAAAATACTTCAACTCAATATACTAAGATGTATGTCAGTACGTCTTTCCTAATTACAACTTTGAAACAAAACAAAAACACCATCCCCCTTAACAATGCTAACCATTGAATTTCAGCTTCACTTCAAATAAAAAGATTGGGTATTCTACCACAAATAGCCATCAATAGGTGAGCATTGATAAAGTGATTCATAATCTGAATTTCATACAAGAGATAACATATTGGGATGAAGAGAAATTTGGCTTTTAAGATGATGACATCTACCTTGTAGTTAGTAAATGCCTTGTAAATGTTGTTGAATAACATAACAATAAGTTTAAGTTCTTGGTTACTTAAATAGGTTATATTCAACAAATTCAAAGACTTCTTATTTTAAAGGATTCTAGTAGGTATAAAACAAAACAATTAGGTTAGTGCCCTTTATGACAGCAGACCAACGTATAAAACCTGGGTTCAGTTAAAACGATCTTTGACATTTCATCCCCGTGTTAAAATTGTCATGAGCTTTTTCATCAAATTTGTCGTAGTTGAAGTGAACCACCGACAAATTGCCCTGATCTAAATAAACTTAGTACTTACCTAAGTTCTGTCAAATACACAACGGTTTTTACCAAGTCAAACTGATGAAAGACTTATTATAAGCTATAGCAACTGTTGACCCATCAACTATCTCAGCATAAGGTCCACTAGCACATTCTGTGACTGGCACACCAAACTAAACTAAACTAGGTAATACAAAAATTGGTGACAGCTGGTCCCAATTGGTTAGATGGTTAGATTTAGACTAGGTACCGGTACTTAAATACATTGGTGGACATTGTTTATTACACCAATTGACGGGTTAAGTTTTATGATTCTTTTTCAATGTGTGTAAATTTTAGGTTAGGCCCTACCGAACTTTAAAAAAATCAAATGAAATAGGCCTAAGCCTAATTAATTTGATGACTTTTGTGGGATAAGTATGTTATAGGTATAAACAATATCAGGGTTGGTACTAAATTTGGAAAATAAAATTCCCTGACTCTTCCAGGTTTTCCAGTTTATCAATATTGACTGATCAAAATCAGGAAATATTAAAAAATGTAAATATTTAATTTATTTTAGATTTAATAGTTATAATAACTCAATGTCTAACTTTAAAAATCAATGAGAAAAGAATTAACGTCTGGAAAAGTAAGTGTAAGTTACCTTACACGCGTTATTATGTTCCACAATGAGCGCGTTCTGGGAACATGTACCAATGCATCGATGCAAAAAAATGTGTCGTTCTAGGAGACTGGTGAGTTAACCTAGCAGACAGCTATTTCCTCTTTTTTCCTCCGGAGAAATTGTACGGTGCATAATACACCGGCGGCCTCTGATTGGTCAGTTTCTTGGACAACAGCATGCAGCTACGGCAAGATGGCGGGTCCATTGAATAATGTTCATTAGTTTTATTGGTTGTGTTGCGTAATGAGTGAATAATTTGTTCAATGTTCAATTATTTCAATGGGGTTATATTACGTAATAAACGAATAATTTTTAAATAATTTATTCCGTGAGGGTAAGTCTGTTTGTTTGATTTAAATATTATGAAGCAAATAGAAGGTGGATGTGTAAATTATAATCCGATGTGTACCGTAAACCGGTGACTAACCGTTCTGGGATACCAAGACTCTTGCCCCGGGGCGGTACCGGTGAGTAAGTCAGCGGTTAATCTGCACCGGTGCACCAGTAGATGTTTCCAGAACGCACCCATGGACTTATCACTGGCAGACAGATGATACCGAAAGCAATAGGTCATCGTACTTTGCTTGCAATATCATCGGTCACTGGTTACTCAGCCGGCTGGGTCAAGTGGAATAACTTAAAGACTGAATGAAACACTAACTAAGAGCACTCAGATGATATTCAAAGAGCTACTGTACTTCAGCGCCAATTAAGTTAGGTTCACATTATCTGCAGTAACGGTCTAAACTAATATAGGTACAGTAGACTCTCGCTCATCCGGACTAATGTGGCGGACGTCCGGTCCGGATTACGAAAAATCCGGACTATCGAGAGTCGAGGAATTACACTGTATATAGCCGTTTTTTCAATTTTGTTCCAGGTCCACAGTAATGATAGCCGGGCATATGCACTTCCACCGGTAATAATTTTTTCGGCCGAATTTCGTTCCAGGTCCACAATAAATATATAACCCGGGCATATGCACTTCAACCGGTAATAATTTTTTCGGCCGAAATTTGTTCCAGGTCCACAGTAATTATAACCCGGGCATATGCACTTCAACCGGTAATAATTTTTTCGGCCGAAATTTGTTCCAGGGCCACAGTAATTGTAGCCCGGGCATATGCACTTCCACCGGTATAATTTTTTCGGCCGATATTTGTTCCAGGTCCACATTAATTATAACCCGGGCATATGCACTTCAACCGGTAATAATTTTTCCGGCCGAAATTTGTTCCAGGTCCACAGTAATTATAACCCGGGCATATGCACTTCAACCAATAATAATTTTTTCGGCCGAAATTTGTTCCAGGTCCACAGTAATTGTAGCCCGGGCATGTGCACTTCCACCGCTAATAATTTTTACCGCCGTGTTATCCGAGTTTTTTCATCATTCGAGGTAGTCTCGGTCCCGTTTCGCTCAGATAATCGGACTTCTACTGTACTGAGCCACTAAAAAAAATCACGATTGCCGATCCGGACTACCGGGAGTCCGGACAAGGCCGATCCGGATGAGCGAGAGTCTACTGTACCGTACCGTACTGAATTGTACAATAACTAAATAAACAACGCCTAACTTATGAAAAACAATTACCGTACGCAAATTGGACCTAAAAGGTTTATTAAATTGGGACGCTGACAATAGCAGTTCAGATGCTTCTCATTGAAAAGACTTTTGAAACTTTTGCTGAACAGGAATTAACTAACTTAACTTAACTTATTAAGGTCACACTTCGATGACAAATGCACAATGCTCTGCCAACCCCTGCTGGATGACTAATAAAAATCTGTGTGTAGTCTTGCAATGACTAGCCTATCCTTAACAACATGTATTAACCAACCTAAACAGCTAAACAATGTGATTAGGCCTAGTATGTGATATTTTGCCAGACTAGTGGCGTAGCCAAGGGGGGGGGGGTTTGGGGGTCATAACCCCCCCCCCTTGACAAAAGGATTTTGCCCATAAAATAACCATACACTTGTTTTTTTACGGCCATAAGCTATTTTGTAAATGGCCCTAAACAAACCTTATTATTTCTTTTCTTAGGTTACGGCTGTGGCCCTCAAACCCCCCCCCCTCCAGATCAGCTTTGTGAAACCCCCTCCCTTGACATAATCCTGGCTACGCTACTGTGCCAGACTTCATATTAATAGTACAGTTGTAAAGTTCTGAATTCAGATGTAACAGATTATGGTAATTATTTACCCTATTTACACTGGGATTTTATGTAATTTTTATATGTCTACTTACAGTATTTTTAACGCTGAATCCAAAAATGCAATCAGTTTTGGTCGGAGAGATTCCTAAGTGGCCGTACAGTTATATAATTAATATTAAGCTTCAGTTTTGTTGATTTATTAACATATTTGTGGTATGGACGAGTCCAAAATCTAGTGGCGACTAAACTAAAAGGGGTGGAAGGTTTGTGGAGTGGAAACAGCTGTCAGTTGTTTACATTCTATACTAAACAGACAAAACCACAGACGACGCCATGAGTGCAAAATCATTTGAGTGCTGGCGCATTTTTGATATCGTTATTTCATTGTGTTTCACCCACTATTTAATTGTGCAAAAACAGTCTGGAAGTTGCATAAATTAATGAGTCGGTTCATTATAACCTAACCTTTACCTTCCTAATCTAAACTCACTTCAAAACACTTAATACAGTCACGAATCCGCATAAAACCCGACCTACCTTCCTCACATGCCTAAATAAGAACTGATCATTTGGTTTCAAAACGAATTGATTTGATTTCATTCCGCATTAGATCAAGTATAAACAAATGTTTGCTCTTCTCACTCAGTCCTCACTCCTCCACTCTTCACTCAGTACGGACCCGTCCAGACCGCGCCATATTACCATTACCTTCAGTACCGCTAAATTTTCCTTGTTAGATTCGTAAACCTAACCTTCGTTTTACGGCCGCTACCGCCACTTAGGAATCTCTCCGACCAAAACTGATTGCATTTTTGGATTCAGCGTTAAAAATACTGTAAGTAGACATATAAAAAATACATCATATCCCAGTGTAAATACGGTAAATATTTGCCCAGATGGTATTCAACATTTGAATTTGAACAGTAAAGGGTTACAGTAAGTTTACTGTCCATCGGGCTTAGGGCCTACAAGGTCAACAGTAAGTTTGGATTTGGGGGCTTCAGGAATCATGTTACAAGTTAACCTAACAGTGTGTAAGTTAAAAGTTTGCTACTTTTAAGTTATTTTTAACATAGAGGATACGCGTCCGGTAACCGGACGTGGATAAGGCGTACGGCAATGACGTCATGGGGTTGCGGGAGCCTGGAACGCCTTTACCACAACAATACAATGACCAGCCATCGGTGTTCGTGGTGTAGTGGATAAGGTGCTCGGCTGATATGCAAGAGGTCCAGGGTTCGAATCCCATTGATGACTTTAACTTTTTGTCGAAGAGTTTTGCATTGAATACCATTTATTCTTAACTGTACATCTTTTATTAGAATTTTTGGCATTTATAATTTTTTTTATAGAGAAAGAATTTCACCTTAATTCGATTTTTTCACTATCAGCAAGTTTGGTTGGTTAGGTTAGGTTATGACAGTAATTGCCGGACGTCTAATCCACGTCCGGTTACCGGACGCGTATCCTCTGCCTATTTTTAATGAGCAGGAATCCTGGGATATTATAAAGACTGGGGATCACAAAGTCATTCCTGTACAGTAGGGCGTAAACTTGCTTCCTTATGTCAAAATTCAGCTAAATAGACCTCCTAAGTTAGCTAATGATGTGTTTTAGGCCCAAGTTATCTCCTACAGTAGATAAAGACAGCATAAGTTTTCTCCTCACTTCTCAGTGTCAAGAAAAATGTAACTAGAATTCTTCAAGCAATCTTTGATAAATAAAACACATGACTAGGCTAAGTCAGATAGCCTACCCAATTTATTTTTGCATGACTTTGTGCTTTAGGCCTACCTAAATTAGGCTAATTGTATTGATGGAGTTCATAATAAGGGCTATATTTCTTAATATTATGAAATCAGTAGGATAGGCCATACCCTAGAGGCCAGAGTCCCTAACTTAGGTATAATTAATTCATGAGTTTTGATTGTTTATCTTACCACTGAATCTCGGCGTAACCGATTGTCTTCTGAGCTTTTGTTTTTCCTGCTCTTCAACAAATTTCGCTGCCTTCAATAAAGCTTCCAGACCTCCTCCGTTAGTCAAAATACTACCACTACCACTCATCCTTCACCTTCTTGTGCACTGATTGATTGTCCTCCAGTAATACCGTCCACTTTCATTAGCAGCTATCTTATCCATAGCATCGCTAAATGTTCCACCATCACGAAAAACCGCATTAACTCGTCGAATTAACGTCCAATGTCATAGGTACATTGCTAAACCTATGTAATCGTTCTAGAACTGCACTCGACAGAGACAATATAGGTCTAGGTGTAAAACGGTGGCGAATTTCGTTTCGCACGACTAGATCTTCTGTCATATTTTAACACCACTGCAAAGACTCGCGTTTTGAATCATTTCCACTGCCCCTATAAAATCATGAAACCCGTATTGTGCCTATAATGCACTAATAACAGACCGTATGTCTGATAAACTGAGTTGCAATCACATAGCGGAGCCAAGTTCTACACCCTGTCACCCTGATATAGCGAGTAGAGTAGAGTCGTGTTGTAAGTGTAAGTAGTGATCTGCTCAGTTGGTCAGTGGTCTGCTCGGTGCTCGTGTTGTTGGCTCTATCACGTGGCCTAGACGGAGGAAATCCACCAATAGGAGTGCACCATGTGATGCCCGAGGGCGTCAACCATTTTGCCACAGCTGTTCCCGAGAATGCACATACTCCCCATTGCGAGAATCATGTCTATCGCATGTGACGTGTCAAAATGACAACTGAAGTCAAAAGAAAGACTGTCCAGTACGTCAGATTAAACTTATTATTACAGATTACAGTATTGTTTCATTATCACATTGTCATGTTTAACTGTGTCTACTACAGTCCGATTAACTTCTGTATACCGCTAAATTTGAACTGTATACCTCTAAATAAAATCGAACGCTTTTAACCTGTAGGAGGAGATTTTAAAAACTTATTCACAAAGATTGAAAGATTCATTTAGACCTATTATCCCCGCCGCAGCAAACCTGCATTTATTCTGCTACTAGTATTACTATAGGATACTAAAAATCAAATTCAATTTGTCTGATTGAATTTATACTAAAATATTTGTATAATCCAGTAGAAGTCATTTTATGTGTTCCCTATTTGAACTTTGTTTGATAATGGTGATAGTATTCTTAAAAACGTATATAAGTAATTAATTAATTGATTCACTATTTGATTTAATAACATTAGATGTGACGAGTACTTAGGTTTGCTGTTGGGGCAGGTAAAAGGTATTTTTTGATTGAATGTCAATACTAACTAGGATGAAATCAAAAATGTATTATATTTTTGCCATATCATATATTTGGCAAGGCAAAAACAAGCAAACTAACACAACATTTTCTCAATTCTCCAAAAGAATTAGGGTGAAAAAAGTTATATGTACATTTTTGGAATGTTCTTTTACAATGACTTGAAATTAATTTGAAGAACTATAATACTTTGATTATTAACTTTGTTTTTGTTGCCTATGAGTTCATGTAGGATCAGCGGAACTATGATTTGACTATTGACTGGACAGTGAACTCGAACAAAATCCATTAAAGTGTTGTCTTTTCAAAAGTGGTTGAAGAACGACAAAGTTTTGCCATTAAATGTGGTTTGGTTTACTTGTATTTTTTTTCCACAAATAAATACTTAACCTCGTAACCTAATAAGGACAGTGAGGAATACCCTAAGCAAACATTGAGAAAATCTTTATACATGTAACATGTATTTGTTATTATTTACATTATGAATTTAATAGTGTGGACATTTTAATTTTTCATTAAATAAAAAACAACAAATCAACATAACATAACTTCTTAAAATGGACAGATTGTTTTACAAAATTAATTAGTTTAAACCGTTAACTTGATTTTATTGGCTCCTTCTCAGCAGTCCGGGGAAGAAATTTGAGATCTATAAAAAAGATAACTTATGGGAAATAGAGGAAAATACCAGCTATAATGCCATCCCTCATCAATTCGAACGAAGTAGCTGGAAAAATTAATAAACAATCGGATACAGGGGATTTAAGTGGGTCAACTGACGCTCTTCAAAAACAACGCTTGGCAATAAAATTCTCCGGTTTGAAAGTACGGTATATAGTGCAGTGCAGTAGCCTAAGTACAAAGATTCAGCTGACAGCAGTCGAGCAGTCACAGAGCAATCCCAGGAAACCAGGGGTAGAAACTATTATGGACTGTTATGACTTATTAGGCACTGTTATGGGGCACGTAAACTCAAAACTTCATAAAAATTAACCCATCGAAAAGAAAAGAGATAAAAGGGAATCGCGTTCAGACGTGGAGACCTCTGATCGTGAATCTTGTGGTGAAAATTTAGTTTACAAAGAACACAACTTCTTTGCCAGCAAGTATGTACATGTTATGGTATAAAATTAAACTGAAATTTTTGCAAAATTTTACAAAAAGTGGATCACGATACCCATGATAAACACCGGTTAACTTCGAGAGAAGAGGCGCTAGTCGCCACAGTCATTCTAACTTGGACTTGAACTCGGACATTATCACATACAGAACACCTTAATCGAGCAAATGACACAAGTATCGGATCCACCCATTTAACCAATGGCTCTCCGTTGTATATATGCAGTGAACAGAAACACTCTTCCGTGCGAGAACCAACACTTTGATCATCGTTTTTCTCGTCAACCACCTACAAGAGACCATGCAAAGTATGATTCCTTTGATATTTACACTTTTCTACACGACTTGGTGATATTATTTTCCTTCAATATGCCCAAATAATCTGGGTTTATTTGTATAAAATCTGCATTACCGACACAATCTTAGTTGCCTTGTTCGACCGATAGAGTTCGGGGCCTGCATCTCCACAACATAGAGAACATTGTATCGCACAATTGTCGACTAGGGCCTACCACATAATAAACAAAGATTCTAATTTTCTGCGCAACCACTGATCTCCTACCAAATATTAGCAAGGTTGTTGCTCTACATGTCTAACTTATTTCGTTTCTGGACAATTTGGTTCAGCCAATAATAGATTTTACATCCTCCATCAAATTGTAGCCTATCAACTATAACTAGAGATAGGATTGTACGTTCAGTAGTTTAAGCGTTTCGTTGTGAAGACAACATTTGTCATAGCTTTAACTTGCCAGAAACACAATTTAAACTGCAAACTATTTTGTTTTGAGGGTCAAAAATATTTTGGAAATCAAATCACCTGTCAGAAGTGTTTATATTTATTTATTTAATACGGAAACATTATTTACATATGTAACTGTAAAACTGTTGAATTCATGTTATTGGAATTTTCTTAAAACGCTATAAACAACTTAACAATTACTTAACTTAACGCTTTTTTTGTTAATATTTTGTTGTTATCATTAGTTTTTTAGAGGTTAACTGTAAGAAAGGACAATGAGGTCCTAAGTTCACCTCAATAAAGAAGGATTTTCATTTCATTTTTAACAACCAAATTAAGGCACAATGACCTTTATGTGCTGCACTTTGTAGAACTCTGACTCGTCTTTGGGATGTTAACTTTGCGTTGTATTGTATTTGTATTTTAGAATAAGCTCCAAAAGAGTCTCATGGCATGTTTAACTATTGCCGTTACTGTGCCAAACATTTTTATCATTTACCTACTATTTTTATAAATAGATTCAACAAAATGTATAACGTACACAAAAATCGTAACTGCTGCTTACATAATATATAAAGTCAATTACAATTGCAAGACTAGCTGCTCTCAGAGTATAAAGTATACCAATAAATGATATTCCCCGAGCAAAGCTTATTTAAGAATATGGTTTAATAACATTGTACAAAATAATAGTTCCAGAGCATACAAATTAATTTATTCTTCCAAACGGTACATGCCAGTTTACAAAAAATATTTATAGCGTATTTATAGCGTATAATGTATTACTGTGATCAAAACATAACCAATTCAACCATGATACCTGAATTTGTTAATCCGATCTGGTTTCTTCGGCAAAATAAGCGGATGAATTTCGTGTAAGCTATAAAAATAATATAGGCCTACAGCTGATTTCCTCGACTCCTTCTTTCATAAAATTAACAATGGCGCCTTTCGTTCCAAGCTTGGGCCTAAAACCATATATTGTTTGGGGGTGAACATTGAATTGTCCTCAAAGTAATAAAATACCTACCTGCTTGTTTAGCACCATTTCTAAAACCTTTGAGATCACTGGTACGATTGTTATCGGACGATAGTTGGCATAATCAGATTTGGAGCCCTTTTTAAACAATGGAATAACCATTGTCCATGTGCCCTAGTGCGTGTATTAATTCAGTTGTATTGTAAAGAGGTACAGTAGTTGGATTGGTAATGGCGTATTTGTAAGATGGAATCCACCACTTCGCCGTAAATAACATCGAACTAGACTGATAATACAAATAGTAATAAATAGTACATTTTGTAGCAATATTATTTAACAGATGATTCGCTAAAAAAATCCAAGACTTGGCCAAAAGTTTGGGAATGAAACCGCTGCGTATGCATATAGTGAATTATTCATTTTGTTTAGAGTTTTAAAATTAGTTATAAATCAAACGTATTGTTTAGTATATATTTTGTATATAAGAGTATAACTGTAAGATAGTAGTACCCTGTAGTCCTAATTCTCGTCTAATTAAATGAGTATTTTCATTCATTTGTTCAATTTTTTTCTGATAACGAAATACAATTTAACAGTAACTATCAGTAACATAACCTAAACCTAAATAAATATGGATTGGTCGCCAAAATTCGAAGTCGGCAGACTTTTAGTGATGTAAAATAATGACAGCCTTATACAAATAATTTATTTTCATATGTGAATGTTACTTTTACGATACGAATAATATTTGAAGTGTTTATAGCGTTGTGTCAGTTGGGCGTTAATTTAACAATGGGTTTAATCAACGATCACATAAGACCAAGTTTAATACACGAATACTATCACTACCGGAATGGATCATAAACATAAACAAATTACGTTTTTAGCCAGAAAGTAAACAAAACCATTAATTGACATGGTTTTGTTTACTTTCGGACCAAAATCGTCATTTGTTTATGTTTATGATCCATACCGGTATTGTTCTAGTATTCGTGGTTTAATCGCTTAAAGAACAAGTATCGTGTATTATAATATTATATCAAATAATATACATTATCATGATTCCATTTAAAATTTCAATAAAATAAAGTAAAACACCCCCACCGCAGCAAACCTGCAGCATAAGTGAATTTTCCATTTCCCTGAATGGATTTTCACTAAAATAAGTCCTAAAACATGTCAGATTTATTTCCATTTTAAATAACAATGGATTTTAACAAGTACTTAGGTTTGCTGCTAATAAAAGATTCAATAATGTAGGATTTAAGTGAAATGTTAATAGCTTCGTACATTATTAAATAAATAAAATTGACTTATTTGATTAAAGTATTCTCATAAACAAGTTAACTGCAACAATTAATTTACCCGCCAAAAAATAATGTAAGAATTTAAATTCGCAGTTTTTATTATTTTCTTTTACCACCAACATAATTATCAATAATCGTCCAACAACGCTTCAAGGCACGAAATCATTATTTTGAGCTCCACAGAATACTTTTGAAAGAAATTGTAAAATTTTTGAGGGTTCGATATTGAAAATCTATATTTTACCCCAATTAACCCCTATAAAGCCCGTTACAACCGTCCTATAAAGTTAAGTTAAAACCGTTAAATCAATGATATCAATAATGTTAAACTTGAATGATGTTATACTTAAATTCTTTTAAAATGAATAAAAACATTAATATTATTAAAGGCAATTAAAATGATGATTCCGTAACATGTTATTTCATGTTTTATTTTTTCTGTATCAGCGCTCTTCCTCACACACGCTCTCCATCTCTCTCTAAACTCCCTTTTGCCGCGCTTGGTAGAACTCGTCTGGTCTTGGTTTTGTTCGGATTGACATTTTGCTGATATTTACCTCCCTTCACCCTGCTCGGTTCGCGGTCTTGATCGGATAAAATATCAATAGTGTGTCACCGCTAGTCTTGGCTACGCTAAATCAGAAATCGACAGTTCAAGGTAAAGGTACTGTTACTGTACGTCATACATGAAGTGAAGACTCCCCAACCAGCGCATGCGCAGCTGCAGTCAAGACAACCCTAGTCACGTGTCATACTCAGGTGCTGGGGAATGTAGACCATGAGGATGAGTGGACAGTTGAACGAAACCGAAAATTGTACGACTCGTGAAATCTTTGTGGATTGTGACAATTTAATTGATGACAACGTGAATTAGTCTCATTTACGTAAAATATTGTGGACTGTGAAAATTCCAGCAATGAGAGCGTAAAAGTCCACAGAATATAGGCCTACTTGTTGTGATTGTACTCCGCGCGCCTACAGGGGCTAAAGCCCCCCCTTGGACTCTGGAAAAATAAATTTAAACACACATTTCGTCCTTAAAACACACAATGCTATAAAACAGACATCAATATAGTTTTTATTAAACTAAATAAGCGTTGGCAGAAGTTGGTATTAAGTTCCACATAGATAAACTTTGTGGGGCAATAGCACGACAAAGACGAATAAAACAATATGCTATGGATTGGAAGTTGTACGCATCATCCGATTTTTACAGCAGTGAGCTGACGCGAGCGAGCGCGACGGCGAGGACGGGGAAACAGCTGATTTCATGTTCCTAGTTGTCAAATTGTCTGCTAAGTGCTAATTACTAACTTACACAGGAATCAGCCATCAGCGGTTGCACCAGTATCCTCATCGACTATATAAACACTAGTTTTTAAGTTGATACTTGATATAGCATAGCCAATGCTATTACTGAATTTGATAGACAGATCTATGAAATGGAGAAAACGTAAGGTTTAAAAAATGCGTCTTCTTGCTTGCATGACATATAACAGGTGAAATAGGACGTTTTTGGACAATTTGACACAATTCTAGACGTTAAGAATGGCTTTTTAAAGATAATATGGCTTCGTAGTCTAGGGTATAGGCATATGTTTTGAAATTCATGAATAGTTCGTTATAGTTTAATTTTTAAAATGTCTACTTGCTCATGAGAAACAAAAGGTGAAATGGGAGTTTATGTACAATTGGGCACAGTTTTATGTGTTAGGGGAGGACCCCCGAACCCCCTACTTTATTGGGGCGTGCTCCAAGCCCCCCGGGAGCCCCCTCCTTGACAAGGTCCTAGAACCGCCACTGTCCGCCTAGTTTGGTGGATTGTGCTAGTTTCGGCGAAGGACATAGTGACTTTGACTTTTGTCCAACAGTTCATCCACCTCACATGAAGCGGACACGTTTTCCGACCTGACTGCATGAACAATGTGAATACATAAACAATATAAATGAACGACATACCCTTCGCGGCAAATCCGCATTATCGAATATCCTACTTTGCTGGATCTATAAAAATGTTCTCTTTAAATTGTGAGATTTATTTTCAATTTAAATAACATTAATTTATAATGAGCACTTATCATCGGCAGGGTTGCTGCCTCAGGGAAGGTAATATAATGTTTTTATTGTGTTAATACTGTTAATAGCTAAATATTAAATAAACAAATGTGACGAATATGATTCAAATTTATCCCTAAACAAGCAAACAGTTGATTTATGGATAGAAATAACTTTACAATTTTTACCTACGACCGTTTTGTAAAGTAGCCGTTTCAGTTCAGTTCTTATTATTCAAAAGTTTCTCATAACAGCATAGTTTTACTCATAACAATACGGGTAACGGACCAATGAGGTTAAAGGATTGAGAGAGAAGAAGTAAAATTGTAATGATTCTAACTTCAACTAATCAGCTGTTCAGGCTAATTAAATTGTTGATTGGTGCAGTGTTTGGTACAATATTTCGTTGCATCACTGTCAGTGGCAATGAGAATATAAACGAAAAGGTAACCTCTCTTAGAAAGAAGTTATGAGAGGTGATTTTTAGTAATTAAAACACTGTCGTAGGTAAAGTAGTGTACGCAACTCGCGTAATTAGTGTTAAACGGCACTCATAGAAGTAGTTTTTTTCCATAAACTTTTTACTCGTATCAACACTATCTTTAAGCAATCTTTGCGTAAACTACTATAATTTTTGGGGATTTTATCCGCAACAATGGTAGAGTAACGCTTCATTTTACAAAATGATTTGTTTTTTAAGCTCTACTGGATACTTTAGAAATATCGTTCAGACGCAACTAACCCTAACAGGCACCACGTGTTTCGATTGTACCTTATTGTATTAGATTACCTTTGTTATTTAAAACTTCTGACGAACTCCACCACAAATTTGTACATATCAGCTGACATTCTGATGTTCTCAATTCGCAGCACGAAACAGCTGTAGTCGTTTAAACTACACAGGATCGTTTTGACAATAACCAAAACCAAACCAGGTAATTTAAATCTAATTAAGAAAGAAATTGCCATGTTTTATTTTTATTCCCCCCATAACAGCCCGTTTCTATTGTACAATCATGCTGGTTTGCTAACTCTCGAATAAATGTAGTTTTACTTTTTTGTGCCAAATTTGATAAAAATCAAAGCTCAACCATATGACACTATTGTGTCCACTAGGGGTTGCACCAAATACCACATTGACTCCTCCCTGACTTTTGGGTGAAATGGAGGAGGGAAAGTTTGTAAATAAATAAAATGTAATTGTAATCTAAGTTATCATAAAACTATTATTTCCTAACTCAAATATAGATTTAGTATCATGCAAATATATATCTATAATATATAAATAATAAATAAATAAAAAGGTCCTTATTTAGCGAGTGTTTTTCAGTTACAATAATTCATTCTGCTTTTCAAAACAACTCTCTTGTCCTTAATACTAATAAAATATCCATAAAACTAACTATAAAACAATATATAAACAATCTATGAAAACAATGTAAAACAATCCATACCAACAATCTATTTAATAATTCTAAAATCTATAACAATAAAAAATCTATAACAAACATTACCTAAAACAACCAGACACTGTAATACTAGGACTAGACCAGACAATTAACAATAAAAAACATACATTTACTTTAGATACTGCTACTTTTACCAAACAAATATTTCTTTAACCTTTTTTAAACGCGTTCAAAGAGTTGGCCATTGATCAGAGAGAACATTATACATGGTAGGGCCGAAGTATGAGAAGGCGCGCCTCCCCACTTCATGTTTGACTCTAGGAAAGTGCAACAACTTGTCCTGCCTCGTGCTGCGGACAGAGACATCTCGACGAGAGAGAAGTCTCTCACACAGGTACTCACCCTGGCCGTGCTCTATAGCTTTACGTATCAGGCTGTGGGTTAGGTGTATACAATTATCTTTAATTTGCATTATGTGTGCAGCGTTTCTGTAAGGCAAATATAATACTTTTAACAGAAATTTTTACAAACTTTATTCTGTCATGCCTAATTTTTCCCAGTTCCTGTGCTTTTACCCTGAATGAGTCATTGAAATGAAACTGATGAACATTTTTGATCAAGTAAAAGACAATTTACTTTGGTAATTCTAGCGATTAGTTTTAAACAGACACATTTATTTTATTGTTTTAATTCAGAGTAATGGTGGTATGTAAAAAAGAATCAAAGCAAATTACATCATTCAACTCTTAACACATCTGAACTTTTTTACAGCTGGTAGTGTTATCTTTTAGGTGTAGAATGTGCGCTACCTCTAAACAGGTAGGATGTTGATTGTTGGATCAGCATGTTGCCAAGTTTCATAACCGTTGCTGATCTATACACATAGAGCTATATCAGCACTCAGTCGTGGCTATGTCACTATGTTGCTGAGACTACTGTTGTGCCTTATGCTGAGCCGTTGTTGCTTTAGCACTTTCCATCATCTCGTACAGGATGCTGAGGAGGACCATCTCCTGGCCAGTGTTTACGATGCTGAGCATGCTGCGGTGTTGGATGATATCTGGGATGACTTCAAGGTAAATCTCCCTACCACTTCACAAACACCTATGACAGATATTCCACTTTGTCCCACCTAACTGTAATAAATGTTTTCTGTTAGCACGATAACTTGAATACAAATCATGTGATATTGATTAAATTTAGTACAAACGTATAAAACTAAATTTATTTTAACCAGTACGATTAGACCATATTATTGGGGGGTTTTGGGGGAGGGGGGGGGGGGGGGGGGGTCATGTGGGTAAAACTTTGGCTTTCCACATTTTTGACTTAAAAACTTAGTTTGACAACTTCTTTCCAAATAATTTTCTAGAGCTTAAGAAGAAATAAATAATTTAGTATTTTCAAGGCGTTGTTGTATGCCAAATGGTTGCAGAGAACATTTCAAAAAACTCTAAACTGAAAATTCTTATGTTATTCTTAAAAGAATAAATAAACTGTTGTAGTTTTGTTGTTTGGATGTATTTGGTAAATTTATTTATTAATTACATAGCTATTAACATCACACTTTATAATGAATATTTTCCCTAACTACATCTTATCTCTAGCCTGATACTTATAAACCTCATTACTTAAGCATCAGGTATTCAAGATGATGATATTAGTATCCACTTTGTTTTTGACTCATTAAAAAAGTCCACCTCCACCTCCATTCATGGCTATGCCTTTTCTTAAGCCAATTGAAGCTATTACTATTTACCACCATTTTTACTGTTATTCAAATTCTTAGTTTTCACATAGTTTAAAGTGTTGGTAGACATTTCCATTTATAAATCTCTATCAGTTGAGATTTTTCATTTTTAACTTTCTCCTCCATGTCACAACAGAATATGTTCAACAAAACATACTCTTCGCGGTCTGAGCCTCTAAGGAGACTGGCTTGGGAAGAGAACTTACTGAAGGTCCACCTGCATAATGAAGAGGCTGCTAGAGGAATGCACAACTACACCTTGAGAGAAAACCACTTGGCCGATCTGGTAGGTTCATAAATACACCATACCTACTAGGAGTACCTAAATCTTCAAATTTGTCCAGAGGAGCCTGGTTGGCCACTGTATTTTAGATCCATATATCCTTCAGTTTCTCCCCAAACAATTGGGGTTTTTGGAAACAATTTCTGGTTTTTGGATCCATCCTTAACATCTCCCTCTAGCCCATACCGTATTTATACACATATGTACGCTTACTTACTGATTTTCTACCTCTGACATCAATAAATGTAAATTCCAAATAGGTCTTGACTCATTTTGTTGAACAGCCATTACAGTATTGCTCTTTTATTTATTTATTTATTTCAACGGACATCTCCATGTATTACAAATATATAATCAAATAGTACAAAACTCAGGATGGCTCATAATGTAAACATTTTCAAGAGCACAAAAAAGTTTTGAATTGATGCAAAATGTATACAGTGTAAATAGAAGTTAAACTACTTAGCATATTAACAGTTATTGTTATTACCAATGCATAATGTAGAAACAAACAAAATCAGTGTGAAGGTAATGTAATACAAAGTGAAATACTAGAACCAGAATAACATAGATATAGATAATAAACCAACAACTATAACAAATTAGGTACTTAACTAATATATAATTCAATTTTATATGATGCTCTTGATGCTAAGACAATTTTATTAGTAAAGGTAGCCTATTTTACGATTTATACATGTGAAAGTTTCTCCGGGTAACCAAACGTATTATTAGTGCTGGCTACATCGCACTATAAATTATGTTTGAAACTAAAACTAATATACAGTAGATTACATTTTTATCAAACATTTCATTTTAGCTTTCTACTAATTACAGCGTGAATTTATTTAAGTGAAACGGGATTATAGCGATGAAATGTAATTGAAGTGAGTTTGTTTTTTACCACAGACTTTAGAGGACTACATCAGAGAGATGGTGAGACTAACACTCAGTCGACGGAGGAAATGCGATGATTCTGACATTCTAATGGCTGCCAACCCAATGGCCATACCTGAAGAGGTAACAATAATCTGCCCTTGCATAGTTTTTCTATTTTTGTGTGTGTCAGCAGCAGTAGTAGTAGTTGCTTACAATACTTTGTATAGCTGCATATAAGATTTTATTATGTACACTCTTATGGCTTACAATATTTTTAACATGCCCCATTGACTGTGTAAAAATTGAAGAAACAGGTAGTAAAAATCCCCAAATCTAACTCATCTTAAAAGTTTTGTATAAAAAGATAAAAAGTCTTAAGAATTGTTTATTGAGAAGTTTGAATCATCTAGATTTTATAATATTACTCTGCTACACAGGCCATTAAATGTCATCATAGTTTACATAATCAAGTGCAACCCCCAATAAGCTGTAGTTGTCAAATACCAACCAAAGATTCATGTTTCAGCTGGACTGGAGACTGAAAGGATTCATTACTCCTCCCATGAACCAAGAGGACTGCGGTGCTTGCTACGCCTTCAGTATCGGAACCTTGATTCAGGCTCAGATATTCAAATATACTGGAAAACTAATTCCTTTGAGGTAAACTGTTAGATTAGCTGGAGGTGTGACAAACACGTGTATAGTGGGGCAACGCATAATGCCGTCCCCACTCTCCTGTTCCCAAAGCTATATCTAACTGTTGATAGGCGACCCCTGTTTTTTTAACTATCGTGAGCGTTCTCACCAGTGGTGGATCCAGGTGGTAGGAACCCCTCGGACATACATATACATATTTTTTTACTCCACGTAATACAGTAGTGCATACACATTGCGTAAAATAATTTGTCGCAATAACTTTGGACAAAGAAATTTTATAAAACTGCCATTTTGGAGACTTATTTTATACAAATTCTTCAGGGAGGGTGCCCCTGAACACCCCAGACCCGCTGGTTCGCCCCCCCCCCCCCCCCCCTCTTGTGACTGTTCTAGATCCGCCACTGGTTCTCACAGTGAAACACTTTTTACCGTACTCCTGATGAGAAAATGTGAATCCATGGCAGTGATTTGCCACTAATATTTATAAGCACAGGCTGGAGCCCTGACGAGTCGATGAACGTATATAAATTCAAGAAACACTTTAATCTCTTTGAATATAAAAATAGTGGACAGCTTCCTTTGAACTTTGCTTGCTACTGAGTTTCTTTTGGGAATTTTACAGTCTCTTGGTTTAGGGCTGAAAATATAGCTTTAGTCCAGGAAGATTTTGAGATTAAAGTAGTTGAAAAAGAGTTATAACGTTGTTTGGAGCTAAAATACTGGAGGAAATTTGTGTCTTTAAAATTATTTCTTTGCGAACTAATTAAAACAATATTGTAAAATTTATTTCCAAAATTCTATTCCTATAAAAATTCGGGGGCCCTGGGCTACAGTTCAGTCATATACAAAGTGGGGCCTACCCCTGAGCTTATGAATATGATTGAATAAAGATGTTCTGAATTGAATAGACACAGAGTCCGAACTTACTCTTAAATAATTGGATCATTCATATTTGCTTTGTAACCAGCGGCCAGGAATGTCATAGGGTAAAGGCGGTTTCACACTGGCATCCGCGGACGATTTCTTCGTCCGCGGACGGATGCGAAAATAAATCGCTGCCCATGTTATCAGATGGGACCGTTCACACCGCCCATTGAAACGTAGCGTCCATCCGCGGATGCAGAAATTCGTCCGTGGACGATTTGGTAGAATCGCTCTGGGAGCGATTTTTCTAAAACGTCCGCGGACGATCACGCCCTCGCGCATGCGCAGACTGAGCACCAAACCACGTGTAGCTCTCAGCGAGGCATGTGTCACTCGCATCACAGTGTTTAGTAGTTTGTGTTTACAGTCATAGTTGGCTGAATTAATTGAGGCTGTCCGTGCCTACCCAGTTATCTGGGATACAACTATAGAAATTTATAGGGATCAACAAGAGAAAGATAAAAAAGATAGATATCCTAACCAATAACCATGTATATTTATACGAATTACTGTACAGTAAATCATTGTTAAAATGATTTGTAGGGTATTAGTAGCCTATATTAGGCCTACGTTACTAGTCCTGAAATTAAGTGTTTACCGGACAAGTGTGGATTAGGTACCATACGAGTCCTTTAAACACATTTTGCACATTTTGCATTTTGCACACGAGTTACGTACGATAGTTTACGCTATACTACTAAATCTGTCCAAATCCTTATATATTACCACTAAGTAAAGGACTAAAAATCACTAGTCATAACCTCTAGGAGAGGTTATGTTTACAATAATGAGTACAAAAGTACAACCTCGTCGTCACTATCATCACTACTTGAATCAAGCCACGGAACAGAGAATCCGGGTTGACACCATGGGACAGAAGGCTCAGACATTTTGCACACCTTCACTGAGTTGTAAGAGGAAGTATGTTTAATCTATGATTTTAGTAGGAATGGCCACTTCCCTATGCGCATGCGCGAATGAGTGGACGTTTGAAACGTAGCTCGCAATGTGAAGGGGGCGCGTAACATCCATCCGAACCATTTCATCCGTCCGCGGACGAAATTATCGTCCGCGGACGCCAGTGTGAAACCGCCTTAAAAGTTCTAATGGGTGGGGTCAAGGAAAACATGTCTCTCAAAGGGTGAAACAGATTCCCCATCTTGACCTTACCTATCCCTAATTCCCTTTAGGGCCACCAGTGGTTGAGCGATGGAATTTTAACAAGGGTTTGACAGAACGCTTTGCATCCTGACAGGACAAATCTGACAAACCTATTGATTGAATAGAGGTGCTCATAGAAAGTACATTAACTCATCCCACTGTATTGAGTACTTTGCATAATTATCCGTTAGTGATTATTTATTTTAATATATTTCCTAACCACAAAATATGCTGTGCCTTGCTTTTATCATGTCTGTTTTTTTTTTTATTTCATGGTGGGTAAGCCTCTGGATCGTAAATTTCAATATAAAAATAGTTTATTTTACCTTTTTGCGTCAAACGATCCGTGTGTAGCTAGTGCAACTACAGCTGTTTCATACCACTAGGGTACATCTTCAGGTTATTGGTAGTACGTTAGATAAAACAGCATTCATTCATAGATGAACTTGTCGAAATAACACACATGCATGTCTATGTACACGAAATACACAAAAAACATTTAAATAACACGAATTTACGATCTTGGCCAAGGTCTCAATTAACTTGGTCTCGTGTGTTCGTCACTTGGCCAAGTTCGTAAATTCGTGTTATTTAAATGTTTTAGCGAATTTCCCTATAGGGAAGTAGCTATTACCGTAGGTGGCACGGTAAGACCTAGACCCGGGACCGATTTACTTTTTCATTTTGATGTCCCCAGAGGCCAAAAACACCATTCGTTCAAATTTTTATATATGTATATACAGGGTTATTACAAATGATGTTCCTGGTTTTGATTATAAATATTACTGGGTTAATTTGTTTCAAGACTATTTTAGTTGGTACCATTGGAAAGAAAAACTCATAAAGTTTCATTTACATTGGTTTGGGTGCATATTAGCTGTTTGTAAAGCAATTGTTGTAAGTGTTGTGTAATGGCTGAATTTGAGGCAGGAAAGCTTTTTGCCAGTTGGAATATTACATTAACCAATCTGGTATTAGTGTGCAACGACATTTTAGAACCAGGTTTAACGATTATCCTCCTAGTAACCACTATATTGGCAAGTGACACTTGAAATTTAAGAGAAATGGCTGCATTTGAATGTTACTTGTAGTAGGGCTGAACTTAACAATGTGCTGCCTGAGATTCGGAACGAGCTCGGTGGTCCGAATAATGACACACCCCTGAACTGGCCTACAAGATCTCCGGACATCACCCCCTGATTTTTTTCTTGTGGGGGTACAAGAAAGATAAGGCGTGCACACCACCATTATCAGATAGCATACTTGAGGTCCAGCAACGGATTAACAACGCTATCGAAACAATAGACCTAGACACACTTTTCAAAGTCTAGCAAGAGCTAGACGATTATTGACATCTATCGTACCACAAGGGGTTCCCCTGTCGAGTATTTACAGTTCTGTGTATCTGTGTCAAAACTTTTTGAGTTTTTCAAAAGTTGTAACCATTTTATTTCTTTGTATAACAAATAAAACTATATTTCACGTATGTATGAAATCATGAACATCATTTGTAATAACCCTGTATATATATATAGACATATATATATATATATCATATATATATATATAGGGTCACTCATAGGGTCAAAAGTGAGAAAAACCAATTTTTACCCCATAAAACCCCCCGTAAAGCCCCGTTCCCATGGTTTGATCGTGCTGGTTCGCGAACTCATTCAAGTTTATCCCGCTTTACACCTTTAAACCAAATTTCATCAAAATCGGACAAAAATTACTCAAGTTATCGCGTTCACGGACGTATATATATATATATGTCATTAACATTAACTTGAGTAATTTTTGTCCGATTTTGATGAAATTTGGTTTAAAGGTGTAAAGCGGGATAAACTTGAATGAGTTCGCGAACCAGCACGATCGGACCATGGGAACGGGGCTTTACGGGGGGTTTTATGGGGTAAAAATTGGTTTTTCTCACTTTTGACCCTCAAAACACAAAATTTCCCGATTTCTCTTTAGACCTTTTTAAAGAGCTTAAAAAACAAATAATTAAGTATATAAAAGTATTTTTCTTCGATTACTAGTAACGGAGAAAATTAAAAAAATTGTAAATTTAAAATTCCCATGTCTAAATTTAATCCATGTCTTATGGAGAATATTGTCAAATGTTGTAGTTTGCTTGTTTATGGATATATTTTGATCAAACTTGGCAAATTTATTTATTTTGTACTAAGCTATCAATATTTTACTCAAAAACACACTTTATTAGTTTCCTTGTAGCAGCAAACCTAGGTACTCGTTAAACCTAATGTTATTAAAATATATTTAACTGAATATCAATTCAGACAAGGAAATTCGCTTAGTCGGCAGGTTTGCTGCGGCAGGGTATTTTGTGTATTTTGTGTATTTAGACATATTTATTTCGACAAGTTCATTTATGAATGAATGCTGTTTTATCTAATGTTCTACCAACAACCTGAAGATGTACCCTAGTGGTATGAAACAGCTGTAGTTGCACTAACTACACACGGATCGTTTGAGGCAAAAAGGTAAAATAAACCATTTTTATATTGTTTTTTCAGTTAATTTATTTGTGTTATAGGTACTATCTCACCAGATCTCAACACATTATTCATAATTTTCTTGTTTTTTATGTCAGTGAGCAGCAAATAGTGGATTGTTCTGTTCGCACTGGGAATCTTGGTTGTAGAGGAGGATCTCTACGCAACACGATGCGTTACGTCAAGGAACACGGACTTATGAAGTATGACGATTACCCTTATATATCACAGGTAAATGCAGCTATACTCATGGTCAAGGATGCCTTGGAGGTCCTACTCCATGGATCCAGGAATGTTTAAAAGTAAGAGGTATTCAAATCTAATTATGATGAAAATAGGACACCACACTATCTAAAGATTGTAACAAAAGTTTTTAAGGATGCAGGCAATACAGTCCCATTCTTTCCTTTAGGAATAAATAAAACTGAAATTAACACTGTAACACTGGAGTGTAAGGCCATTTCATGTATTTTATAGCAAAAATCTTGCAAGTACAGTCCAAGTCTTGCACTCGTTAACATCACAGACTGGCGGACTTTGCCTCCGAAGGACGAAGAGGCGCTCAAGGTGGCAGTGGCAACTATCGGACCAGTGGCTGTCTCAGTCAACGCTAGCCCACACACCTTCATGCTCTACCAGTAAGTAATGTGTAACATGAAATACTAATAAAATTCATCTATGAATCTGAGTTGTCAAAGTTATAGGGTGTTCTATGACGGGAAAATATTTATTTTTTTATCTAAATGCTGAAGTATTCTAAAATATATAGGTATATTTTATGCTCATTGAAGTCTAATTTACTTGAAGTCAGTTTAAGAGTAATCTCCCCTCACAATGCAATATCTATATTAGAAAACTATTGCAATCCAACTAATGTCTACTTCAGTTACGGTACTTTGGATAGTTGTTTTATTTTACCTTTGCACCATAATATTGGATTAGCTTAGTCAGGTGGAAGTATTAGATCATTGATATAGGAATGCATCATGTTTACATCATCAATGTCCATATTTAACCAAAATAAAAGCCAAAAAGGATCCTATTCCTCCTCTATACTGTATAAAAAGAAGCAAAAAAGGTGTTGTGAGCGATCCCTTTTAAACTCACTAATACCTTCAACATCCACCAAAGCTGGATACTGTTTATTAAGATGGGCTTTCCCAATGGCTGAGCCACACATCAGTAAGCTCAATACAAATTTCATATGTATAGTAATCGAACCTGTGCATGTAAAAGATCGCAGAACTACACTCGTCAGTGCAACGCAGTGGCAGTTCAACCACTGTGTAGCACCATTAGCCGGACAGGACGAGTACCTCTGAAGCCTAAATGTCACACTAGCGCTCGCTGGTTAAACTCAAAAAATTATTCAACCCCTCGTAAGCTATCAGCTGGGCTCCTGTGGGGCGAAATTCTACAACATACTTGGTGTAAGAGTTAAACCAGAATTCACTGGATTATAAATCTTTTTCCAAGTTCATCCTTCATTTGAGTGCTTTAAGTTAATCAGTAAGAACCTTAACTTTTTAAAACAACACTTTAAAACCTCAAGTAGACTTCCTCTAGTTTGGCCACCTCAGTAGGGTACCAGACCACCAGCCAGACTACAAAATACCTGGACTAAACAGACGTATTGTCAAAGGTTAAAATAACCTTAATAAATTAATTACCAATGCTAAAAATCAACAAATAACATCCTTTTACAACATAACTTACCAAAATTACCTTTTGAGATCTCATTCTGCATTATCTTGTCTCCACTTAAAGATATGTTTTTGCAACAATGGACTAATTCAGCCCTATCGAGATACTCCATAATGCTGAATCTTAATTCCAATGTCAGCAGCTTACTTTTTTCACTCAGTTTAGAAAACATTTTTCTAACAGTGAACCCGCATACAGAACTCACACTTACTCATAACTTTCACCCGGAAAACAATCTAATACTGTACAGTAAAAAACATACATAAACGATATCACAGATTAAAATACACTGTTTAACACATCCGTTTGCCATACGTTAAGTGCAACCGAATGTATAGAACCACCCATCAACTAAACTAACTTGTTTACTTTTACAAGCAGAAACTAAACATTCAAATTGAATCTTGTCGAAGCTTAATTACCCGTGATGACGTGACTCAGGACTTGTACATGTTACAGCAGCGGCATATATCACGATCCCGAGTGTTCCTCCGATGCATTGAACCACGCCATGCTGCTGGTCGGCTACACTCCACAGTATTGGATACTGAAGAACTGGTGGAGTGAGCACTGGGGAATGGAAGGTTACATGTACTTGGAGCGAGGGACCAACCGATGCGGAGTCGCTAACTTTGCTGCCTACGCTGTTATCTGACAGATCAAACAATGGCTCATCTACAACTACTGTACCTGTAACCTGATTTATGATAATATTTAACTTATAAAAGCACAAATTCACTATATGAAACTTTATAATGAAAAATTTTGTTGCTAATCTACATAGTAAATATTTTTATAGAATTGTTTAAGTTTTGTTTTAAAGTTGCCTTATTGTTTGGGAGTTGCCTTAAAGTTGTGTTGTTGGGATGGAAGCCCAACTGTCACTTGGGACAGAGATACAAAAATACGAGTATGTCTTTATGCAGATGACACAGGTGTGGTTGTCTCTGCTGACACTGAAAATAATATTGAAATATCATCCCATATTGGCTTATCATTATTTAAAGACTTTTTAGATAGCAGAAATGTCCTTCTAAATTCAGAAAAATCCAATTTTGTATCATTTTCAACAAAACAAACTAGGAACAAAATAAAGCCTACAATATTTGTTGATATCATGTATTGACCCAATTAGACCACTCAAAATATTTAGGTTTAATCATAGATGAAAATCTGGCATGGGATATTCATATTAACAATCTTATTTGAATAACATCCGTCAGCCTTTACACATTGAGAAAAATTGCTACATCATGTAATATTGAAACGTTAAAGCAGTCTATTATGCATTAATTCATTCACATATTGCCTATGGCGTCTGTGTCTATGGATCTACCACAAAAAAAAATATGGACAGAGTTTTGCTCCAGCAAAAAAGGGCATCGAGGATAATGTTGAATTTAAGATCAACAGCCTCAATAAGGCAAATCTTTTGTATACATAAAATATTCACAGACTACAGTCTTTTCATTTATGAGACAATTAAATTTGTTTTGATGAATGATAAAATTGCAATAGGTAACCATATTCATAAATATAACATAAGATCACACCGATTGGTAGAGCAGCACAATTTGGAATTTTATAAGAAAAAAAACTAGTTATTTAGGAAACAAATTTTTACATCACCTTCCAGAAACTTTAAAATTGGAGAAAAATCCAAATAAAATTTTATAATCATTAAAAAGATTTTTAATTGAATCGGCATTTTACTCCATTCAAGATTTTTTTTTGTAATTGAAAATCACTAAAAAACTAAAACATTTAAGTATCTCAATTGATTTGTTCTATGTTTGTTTTCTGTTACTTTAATTTGCATTTGATGTATTAATCAGCTGGACTTATTATTATTTCAAGAAAGGAAAATCAATTTGAAGGTCATTAATTGTTATATATATTCTGTTTTGACTGCTGTAAAATCCCTAGTTTTAGCGATCTAGATTAGAAAACTTATGTTGATACAATTTCATGTACCAATCTGTACATTTTATGAAATAAAGAATTTGATTGATTGATAACTGAGCGTGTTAAACCTGAACACAATTGAAGGGAAACAATTTTGAGGGGGTTTAGAATGAAGTGAAATGTTTTATGCAGCTTTGTATACCTACAAACTGTATAGTATCACCCCTTTCTGTTTAGATGAAACTGACAACCAGGTGAATATTATTATGTCCTCTAACTCATTAGTTAGTGAGGTGAATATTATAATGTTTTTACTTGGTAATCAAATTTTGAAAAAAAAAAATATTAGGAGGGAAACATTTAAACACAGAGTAAATAAACGTAGAAAATTTTATATTTAACAGAGAAACGTTTAACACTGTTCTAGTACTATACATCAGCAAACTGTACCGTATATAATCCATAGATAATGTTTTTTTTCTAAAACGCCAAAAAACTGTTTAATCTCTTTTTACTGGTAGTTAAGAGATAAAAAAGGAATAGTGATTCACTGAATCTATATCAATTCAAAACTGCACCTGTAACTTAAATCAATTGTTTCTTTCATAGCTAAAACAGTTTAATATCTAAATGTAAATGACAATATGAAATGGAAGAGATACAAGAATTAAATTTACTTTAAGAGTGTTTGCTAATATTGAAGCTTGGTAAAATAAATCAAATATACATTACTTTTATAGAGGCAGAAACCTAAAAATACTGCAATTAAGGGCTAATATTGCACAATTCTTAAAAATAACACTAAACATATCTTACAACAAGTAATAAAAAAACGAGAGAACACTTGTACAATCATTGAGGTAGATAAGTTGTGAAAGCAAAATAAGCTACTAGTGATGTGTAGAAACTAAATCTCAAATCCATCAAAACTTCGGAAATGTTTCGGTTTCGAGATTCGATCAGTGAATTTTGAGATTCAAAAGTTTCGAAATTGAGGATTTAGGCAGTTTTATTTCTGAAACTGCTGATATTTTTTGCCCCATTATCATTGTTATTAACACTATTTTCACACAAGATGGTAGCAATAGAGCAAACAGATCACACAGTAATGAAGACAGTAATGAACAGTAATGAAACATGTTAATTATATTCTGAACTTCAAAAGGCATTTTAAAATACTATAACTGGAACGACATACAATTCAGTTTCATAACAATATTTAATAAACAGAAACACAAAGATAATATTGACCACTAAATGTTTTAATTGATTTAATATACATGTTTATATTGGTGTCCGGATTTTAATTTATTTGTATGTTGGTTGTTTAAAAAAAAAATGTTTTGGGTTTCAAGTTTATCACATAACATTTTAATCATAGTTAATTCATAGTTAATAACATTTTTATGTTATTATGTCAGGATAAGGGTTCAATCTCTTTCAGTTTTGATTGCATTAAAAATTTAATCATTACCTATAAATTTAATTATTAATGTACCTGTATTTTTTGTAACTTTGGCTTTTGTAAAAGCTAAGTAAACAAGTTTAAGTTAACAAGTTGCGTTTACGTTTTGAGATTCGAGATTTCTGGTTTCGACCATCACTAATACCTACATATTTATGCAACGGAATCTGATTTCAAGAAATGTATTTTCAAATCAAGGTGGATATTCTACTTTGAAACATCTATAATCACTTTGATTAAGAACTCTGTTGTGTAAAACTTAGAAAACACAACCCAAATATTTTTATTTCTCATAAGAAACATAAAAGCGTAGTAAAAAAAAAAAGTATACCTTAAAGAGAAGATTTACACCAGAGGCTATTCACGAATTTAAAGAGTCAATAAAGCAAACAGATTGGAAGGTAGAATCAAACAAGTCAGCAAATGAAAATTATGATAACTTTTTAAGAGAGTTCATGTTAAATATGAATGAGTCCTGTAAAACCTTTGAGGCAAGAAAATGGTAAAGTAATAAAATGGATAACAGAAGGTATAAGAATTTCAAGTAAGAAAAAAAGACTTCTCCACAGTGAAATAAAGATTAATAAAAGTGCCAAGTTGCAAAATTACTACAAGATATATAGACGAATATTTAGAAAAGTTGTAAGGGCAGCTAAACGTAAGGCAAATGATGACTTTATTACAAGATCTAAATGTAAGAGTAGAGCATCATGGAGGGTAATAAAGAATGAGTTGGGAATGATACAAAAGAATAATAATGACATAAAAGAAATATTAATTGACGGAAAAACTATCAACAATCCCATAGTTATTCCTAATTACTTTAACAACCATTACCTAAAAATAAAACAACAACTGAAAGTTCAAAGTTTGCCACATAGAGCAATTGAGTGCTGTAGTAAGGTAGCCATCCCAGAGAATACAGAATTTACATTTAAAGAAGTAAAAGAGATAGATGTATTAAAGATTATTAAGTCAATATCGAACAAGAGATCAACAGGTTGGGATGAAATTCCAGTTAGATTAATTAAGGACTGTAAAGAGTACATAGCTGCACCACTTACAAAAATAATAAATCAATCATTAAAAACTGGTGAATTTCCAACAAACCTTAAAACTTCAATCGTAAGGCCAATTTTTAAGAAAGGAAATAGAAATTTAATTGAAAACTATCGCCCTGTCTCACTATTACCTGTGTTTTCTAAAATAATTGAAAAGGTGGTACACACACAACTACAAGAATATTTAGAATCAAACAGATTAATTACAAACAGTCAGCATGGTTTTAGGAAGTCACACTCAACAAACTCAGCACTAATATCACTAACAGATGATATATATAAGGCCATGGATGGATCACAGTCGACTCTTGCAGTTTGCTGTGATCTATCAAAGGCTTTTGACTGTGTAGACCATGCAGTCCTTTTAAAAAAAATAACTAAATATGGGATCAGAGGGTCGAGTTGGAAGTGGTTTGAATCATACCTAACAGGAAGAAGGCAAAAAGTATCAATAATAATAGAAAACAATAAATATGATCTGAGTATGACACAGTTGTAACAGGAGTGCCACAAGGCTCAATTTTAGGCCCAGTTTTATTTACTATATACACCAACGACCTCCCAGAGAATGTAAATGCCAAAATAATCATGTTTGCTGATGACACAACAGCACTCATAAAAGGGAAGCATTTATTAGATATAAAGGAGAACGCAGAGGCTACGATACAAGATCTAGAGCATTGGTTTGTTATTAATGGCCTTCATTTAAATACTAGTAAGACGAGTTTAGTTCATTTTAGAAACTTACAGAGTAGGGAAGGAGAGTTGAAGCTAAGAATTAGTGGTAATGATGTGAAATGCCAGAGTTTAGTAAAGTTATTAGGTGTTGTGTGTGACCAGAACTTAAATTGGCGGGAACATACGACACAGCTATGCAAGAAGTTAAATAGTATATGTCACAACATGAGCTGTCTAACTCATTGCACAAGTATTGAAACTAAAATGACACTCTACTACGGATATTTTTATTCATTAATAAAATATGGGATAGTGTTATGGGGTAATACTGAATTTTCTAAAGAAGTACTAACAGCACAAAAGAAAATCTTGAGAATAATGACTTTAACATGGCCAGGTTCTACATGCAAAAATCTATTTAGAAATTTGAAAATCCTTACAGTACCAAGTATTTATATTTATGAAACTTTAAACCACGTAAAGAACAACCTAACATGGTACTCAACTGAGAAAACCCAACACCATTACAACACAAGAAATAAAAATTTACTGGTTTATCCACACCACTCATTATCATTATCATTATCATTAAAATTTTGGGTTGTGTTTTCTCAAACAACAATATTACCAAAGTAATTACCGTAAGTCATGACTTAATTACTTTGTTTGTTTTAACAACTGTCCTTCTTCCAACAACTCATCTGCTGATCCCACAATCAGCGTATAACCATTCAGTTGTAAGCCTTTCAGTGAGATGACTATCTCTTTGACTTCTTCTTGGTTCCTTACGTACACCAACGCATAATGCCTGCAACAAATGTTCGCAAAGCACTCATAACTAATACAAGTATATTTAGTTATAAATTTAGATATTTATTTATATTTAGAGATTTGTGCCCCCTTCCCCTTATTTGTGAGGGATTTTCATCTTCCTTGCACTCCCAACAAACCTGAATCCTTTGGCCCATTTACTAATGATGCTCCCATGAGGGACTTGTTATTGAGGTTATACTTTATGAAAACCAGCCATGTTCTAAAGTAGGCTGAAAAACTTAAATTTTAACCAGTTATAAGATACATTACAATCTGAAATATTTTCAATCATAATTTGTTTAGCGACTTATACTCACAGCTTTGGGTACGGTGGCCTATCATAGTTTTTCATGGATACTTCTAGCGGGTGAACTTTCGCCTTCTTGCAAAGATCATAGATGTTGCTTTGCATGAGCTTTGGGTGAAGGTTCCCGATTACTGCCACCTTTGCTGAAGGAGGAGGCGGAGCATTTTTATCAGCAGTAGGCTGTGGTGCTGGGACTGAAACACGTCCGTAAGTATTTAAAACAAAACTAGAATTTTACAAAATATATTGATTGTTTATTTAATTTAAATTAACTTAGTATTTATAAGTGAAGATACTAAAGCAGAAAGTTATATGGGAAAGCTTTTTGCCCTAAGGATGAGATCATGAAAAAGAATAGGCTAATAGTTTAGTTAGACACCAGACAGTAGAAACTCGATTGCATATTTGAATTATCTTGAAATTCCCTTGTTGCTTTGAGTCAAAACACAAGCTGTTTGACATACGGTAATGCAATAATTAATAAGTTAGTAAAAATTAAAATAAGTAGTGTGGTTTCCCTTTTTCATTACCATGGAGGCCAATAATGGCAATAAAAGAAAGAAAAGAAAGAAAGAGTTTTATTTTTCCATAAATATAAAAATATGTAGTATATAGAGAATAGTCATACATTGATGATGAGTAAGTACAATGTCATTTCAAAGATTAAACTAACTTAGCAATACTGTTAAAAAAAGTCATTCAAAGTATATTGCCTGACCTTCTTCAAAAAAAATTTGTTAAAGTCTGTGTCTTTTTCTAATAATAAGAATTTATTAATTACCCTACAAGTCATATAATCAGGAGATTTTTCAAATTTTGCTGTTGAGTGCGAGGGATATATTATGAAATTATGTCTTGTATTATACGCATTTGTGTGATTTTCAAAAAGGATTCTATTTTTCATGAAGTATTTACATAATTCATAAATATAAAGACAAGGTAAAGTTAATAATTTTGATTCTTGAAATATTTGTTGACAGTGCTCATCAACAGGAATATGATGCAAAATTCTAATGGCCCTTTTCTGAATTCGGAATATTCTATTAAAATTTTCACGTGAAGTACTAGCCCAAATTACCAATCCATAAGTTAATCTAGATTGACTAGTTGCAAAGTAAACAGTTTTTAAAATGTTTTTATTAACTGAGTTTGATAGTACTTTAAGAGCAAAACAAGAAGAATTTAATTTTTTACTTAAAGTATCAATATGTAAAGAAAATTCTAATTTCGCATGGATGGTTGTCCTTAAAAATTTATAAAAATATTTTCGGTTTTACTTGAATTTTGTAAAAGTTCACAAGTTTTGAATTTGATTATTTCAGTTTTGTTTTCATTTAATTTTAATCCATTTTCTTTAAACCAGGTGCTTAAGTTAAAAATTAAATTCTCAATATTAAGATCAAGACCACCCTAACCTAACAACCTAGTTTTTTTTATGTTAATCAAATGTGCCATGTTGTTTATCATCATCTATATTAAAACGTGACAGGGTTTTTTAATTTTATGATTCTGAATCAACCACTTGACGGATTTTCATGATTTTTGTGTTGAAAGAAAGATAATTTCGAGAATTAGGAAATGCCGAAGCTATAATTTTAGTTAAGGGTTTCAGTTTTTTTTAGAAAATAAGTTTAAAATTAAAAAGTATAGCAGCCGACGCTAACATTTTACACTAGCTTTGGGTATTAACCATTTGCTTAACGTAACAGCTGTAAACATTAAGCATGTGTGACACAAATTCAGCATTTGGATAATAACGACATGCATAGGGTTGACTTATTTATACTATGTGTAATGCTATACTCATTAAAACGTTAATTTATTTGGTAAGAGGATGACAGACTATTTAAATAAACATGGTGAAATGCTAGATGTTCTAATTTATTTTTAGATCAGTCTTTACAATTTTAAGTTTGTTTTAGTGCAATATAATTTGTTTTAACTAAAAGCTGGTTGAATATAAAAATATTCTATAGAACTATCAGGTTAGTTTATTATTCTGTGATTTTGCCATTGATTAAAGGAAATGAAAATGATTCTATAACCACCGATGTATACAAATTGAGGCTCTGCCCAGGAGTCTTCAAAGGAAAGGTTACGCAAATTATTTTTCTGTTCAACTTTTTGAGGAAAGAACAGGAAAATAACAATGTTTACTTTTAATTCATCTTGGCAGCTGTTGGTTACAATAAATATTTAACCACTTAAACTTTGCATGGATTAGAGATGACTTTCTATATTCTATATTCTAAATATTGAGTTTTAGTTGACTACTCAATTCCCATACGTAGGATGGGCTAACAGCTCGTCATTATTAACTTTCATATTTAAAATAAATAATAGTTTTTCACTCCAAGCTTGTTGAAGTAGGCTACTGATATGAAAACATGATCTTATGACAGAAATTGTGTTGTTATGTGAGTAGACTTGAAATGCCGTATTCACTGTTGTTGATTTGTACATTTTCTGTCCATTAATGAAAATTAAAATTAACCTACAGTAGGCCTATTTATCAAAAAAGAGAGCATATACACAACCACAACACAAGAGGTTACCCCAATGCACGGATTAGCTATAACTTGGTCATATCACAAAATAACTGTGTTAATAAACTTCCATTGAATATGCTAGAACTGAAGGCAAGGTTTTTAAGAAGAAAATCTATGGTTGGCTGGTAAAAAATCCTATATTTATTAGTAAAATTTGTATTGTAAATAGATTAAAACCCTTGGCACTGCCTTTAAACCTATTTGCAAGATTTGCGATTTGCCAACGTGATACAGAATAAACAACACAACAGGAAATTTATTTGTAGTTTGAATTTGCTAAGAGTATTATGGTTCTTATAAGTATTGTGAGTTTATAATATAAAGGTTTTTTCATTAAGGAATGACCATTGTATAACAAAGCCTTTACTAGAAGAAAAGAAAAATATGCTTTTACTATCAGTGGCACATAACGTTTTATAATATCTAATATCAGTACCGCCATAGATATAACATACTCCCTTAGTAGATTTCTCATCCTTATGGAACAGCTGAAGCCAATTTTATTGCTAGTTCTGTACGGTGCACTGTAGAGGTCGAGTTTTGTTTACAATTTGTTGTTATTTCAGTCATTTAAAACCTTGTTTAACAAAATAATACAATCTAATCATAAATGATAATGTGTTCCCTAGTTATATCAACAAACATTAAAGCTCAATCATGAATTCAACCTTAAAATACTAGAAACAGAATTTCGTCGACACTAGCGCCCAATGTCACCGTACATGAACTAGACACGAAAAAGAAGCTTCAAAATTTACAATGGGATGAGAAGGCTACTTGTGTTTGTTAGTCTACTATGGTACCATACACAAAAAAATGATGTCCTTACATGGTACCAGTTTAGGAGGTCTTCTAGCTGAAGGCCTACTCGCACCAGCAAAACCTCCGTCTCCGCCGCCATCATTTCTGCGGTCTGGTCTCTGCTGGTTGAAGTTGTTGGGTCTCCTGCCAAACCCGCTCCCGCTGTCGTTCCTGTCCATCTCTCCAAACCTTGATTTAGGTGCGTCAGTATCCTGGTCTCTAAATAACAAAAATTATTGACAGCTACTTATAGGCACCGTACTTGAATTACTAAACTAAATGTTTTTACAAAGCTAACACATTAAAAGACAGTTTCAATAAAAATGTTCAATTTTGGTAGAAGAACCAACAAGAAAAAAAAACAAAAACAAAAACTGTTTGGTGGGGTAGAGAAGTTTTGGAGAGGGGGGTGATAGGCTAATAAAATGTGTTCCAGTTGTAAATAAACAAGGTTGGAGCGGGTGAGATGGTTAAAACACAAATCAAGCCAAATGACAACTTATAGGTAATAACATATTACATTAATAGTGGAATCAAAGACGACACATGTACGTGGAGCACAACTGTAAAACTTACTCGTTAAACTTTAGGTAGTTCTTGTTTGCAGTAAGTTGAGTGTTTACATTTTTTCTGCACCAGCATTACTACACTTACGCAATGTCAATAAGAACTAAGAGTAGGTCAGCTTTTGATATTTAATATTTGTAATAATTTGTATTAATTTGATATATGATACCAGATTTTGATATTTAATATTTTGTGACGTTAAGTTAGGTTGGATCTGGCTTATTCAGAAATCACTTGACTCAATACAACTAAAATTGGTTGAAAGAATTATTTATAATAAAATAAATAGATAGGGAGCCTAATCCACAAAACAAAATGTACACTTAAAATCAAAAACATGGTATGTGGGGGTTGAATGTGCAAAAATGGACTTCCAAGGGGTGTTCCGTCTTGAAGCAATGAGCGGATGAGTCTTGTAGTTCCATCTTCAGGGTATTGGGTCTACTTACTCTTGCCTGTATCTCCTGAAAGTAGTTAAGTTTTCCTAACTTAAATGCAGCCTCAACCCATGCCAGGACAACACTCATACCCGACATTGTACTTTGAATTGTATATTATCTCCATTGAGCTGGCCTATTGTATGACATGTATACTTAATGGCAATAAACTATTTGAATTTGAAGGGGCAGAGAACTGTATAGGTTGGCTCAAAAGAAATCCCAAGCAGCCTTAAGTAACCTAAGCCAGACTAAGGGGCAGATGTTTGGGCCTACGGACGCCAAAATGCTGAATACGGCCCTGCCAACAAAATTTACATTGTGGGTGAGTTCCTTAATACCAATGGACAGGAAGCGTGTTTGGCTGCTCTGGGTTTCTGGATCCATTTAAACAGGTTACCGTTGTAATCATTGATTTTATGTTAAGTATTAGTCATTCATGTTATAGGTATTAGTTATGTTATAAAATGTATTTTTAGTGAGGTAATATTTGTGACGGATACCATGCAACGTGTGAAATTGTTTTTCTTACAAATTTATTGTTACAAAAGTGCATCACTAGACAAACTAACCAAGCATGTGACAGTGGTGCTTTTGTGTACGGTAGGAAATAACTAGCTATTAACAGACTATACAACAGCTATTAAAGCAAAACAGTAATAGCTTTAAGCACTAATAATAAATTTTAAAAAAATGGTGCTGAGTAGACATAAAAAGCTCTGAACACTCACAGAACAGAACACTCCCAATTAACCGAGGTTGTTGGGACAGAGATTACCTCAGTTACCGAAGATCTCTGATAACAATGAGATTGTTTTGATTGGAATCTACCATAATAAAGTAATTATTGTTTCCGACTAAAAATGAAAAATATATAACTTATTTAGGTCTATAACGACTTCAGATAACCAGAGTGTCCTAAGACGAGGCATAATAGCCTCAGGGGATTATAACCGAGGCTCGAATAATCACGAGTGAACTGTACAAGCAAAAGTCACAACACTTTTTACGCATGAATTATTTTGAACATACCCATTAGAGTATTGCTGATATGAGCCTCGTTGCCCATGTCTGAGAGAACACAACGTTCAATAATTAAAATAGTGTAAAATTAATAGGCCAAACATAAGTTAGGCTACTTAGATAAAATACCAGTTAAGACAGCCTTAAAACAAATTACAAACGCAAAATAACTTCTAACAAGACAACAACCTTTATGCTGGCGCCCTCTGCGTCCTGACCAGTCCAGGTCTGATTATGACTAGATGACACGGTGAAATTAAGCTAAATCGCAAATTGTTTGTCAGCAGCCAACCTCTCACATGCATCTTTGTGACATCAAAGCATTTAAAAACTTTGTCCATACACGTTAGATTTTTCTTGTATATACTGGAGCCTACAAGAATTTTTGAACGGTTGGTATTTATGGCCTCTGGATAGGCCTACATCAAAACAAAAAGTAAATCGGTCACCAGTATTGGTCTTACCATGAGACCTATAATAGCTTATTCCCTATATAGTCAATTTGCTAATACTGTATTCCCTATGGAAATTTAGCTAAAACTGAAAAACATAGTTAGCTGTGGACTTTGGTATTTTTTAAATGCCAAAATCTCGCTCGTAAGTATCCACCATACGATATACAATAAAGGGCACACAAGTCTGCTGAGGACGTAACAAGATATTGTACTCTGCGAGAGCAGTAAAAATTTAATAGGCAACAATTTGATTATACAAAAAGGCAGGCTAATACTAAACAAATCCAAAAGGCTACAAACAAATTTAAGGCAGCTTGGGAGTTTGTAATTAGGACTAGTAAGGTCAGCGGAAGAAGTGCCCAGCGAGTCCAGTCCTGATGTCTTCAAACAGTTCATTTTTGGAGAAGTGGATCGGATTGTTAATCCTACATACCTATTATTGTATAGTAATTACTATACATTAGTTGATAGTAATTACTATCTGAACTTTGGGGAAGCATTTAATGCAAACAATCAGTTCACCAAATGGAGACATGTTAGTCTATCTCATCTATTGACGGTCATCAAATCTTTTAAGAACTCACTTAGCCCAGATGTCTATGGAATTAAATGTAATTGTGCTCAATATATTGCAGATGATAGCCTTGCCTACTCCCTTTAATACTTTTCAATAAAATGGCGACCATACAAAGTAGTATTTTAAGTCAAGTATGAATGGAGATGAGTGGTGCAATCTTGTAGTCTTCTTAGTGACTAAGAACTTTTCGGTGGTAATTAAGTTAATGTCTTTTTTAAACAAGGGGCGTTTTATCGTGTCCTCAAGGCTGCTCGACCTCAAGATATTCAATAGGCTTCCAGCTGTAATAAAATGCCTGGATGACATTAGTTTCAAGGCCAAAATTCATTCCTGGCTCGTTGGTAGAACCTATTGCTCATTGAAGGGAGTACTTAGACCACATTAGCTTAGGCTTCAATTGATGTGCATTTCAACTATTTGAACGCTTTTGGGAAAACTTAAAACTCAATGAAAATAAAGCATCAGCTGACGACATTGTCATGGTGACGCAATCGCTTATTACCAGTGTCTGTGTTGTTTATTTCGCGTTGTGTTTGGTTATTTTTGGTGTTTTGTCGTTATAAGTTTTATTTTTTATTGAAATGCGAGTTGATTTCACTTCATGATGTCTGATTGTAACTACTGTGCCCGATCTAGTGAGTTCCAATTCTAAGTAGCGAGGAGAAAATCAATTCAAGTATTGCCCTAGTGTAGGTTGTTCCAGGAAGTTCAAGGTATTCCACAGGGCTCCATACTAGGCCCCCTGCTTTTCTAAATTCATTAATAAATTCATTTCCCACCAATTTTACAGAAGACAGCGCCTGTATAATGTTTGCAGACGACACAACAATCTTCACACTAACAGATAGTAAAAGTCCAGAATTTAAAAAATCCAACACTAACAAAACCCTGCAAATCTCTACAGCTACTTGCAACAAAATAAACTTAACAATAAATAAACAGAACACAATAGTAATAAACTTCAAACCTACAAACCGTAACAATGAAATTTCAACTGCAGACGAAAACTAACTAAGTTTCTTGGGATAATATTGGACAAAGACCTAACATGGCATGATCACCTTTCAAAACTAGGTGGAAAGTTGTCACAAGTTGTATATGCGTTAAGATGAATTAGAAGCCTAACAAACAAAGAAATCACTATAACTGCATATCATACAATTTTTTCATCATTAGGGTATATCAGATATGGCATCATAGCCTGGGGCTCTGCAAATGAAATCCACATCAAGGAAATAATAACCTTACAGAAGAAAGCAATTCGAATAATAGAACAAATCGATCAAGATGAACCACAAGCCCACTGCAAACCTCTTTTTATCGAAAACTGAATCCTAACTGTAATCTCCGTTTACCTTTTTGAAGTATTACCTCAATCAAATCAAATTCTCCCTAACTCAGAATCCAATGCCACAACTACAACATTAGAAACAAAACAAACCTAGACATAGGATACCATAGGCTAAAAAAACCAGCAAAACTCCAAACAACATGGGGATCAAAATGTTTAATATCTTTCCAAAAAACTCAAAGAAATAAGTGAAAATAAAACTTTTAAAAAACAACTCAAACAATACCTAATTGAATGACCATATTATAAATTAACTGACTTTATTAACAAACACAAATATAGCCTAAACAATAAATAGGAAAACAATGCTCAAGTACACTCTCACACACATACACTTTCGCAAGAAATTGACGATTCCCAGCTGTCTACGAGGACGGGGGAGAAGACATCTATGGTAAATGTGGTAGGCCTAGTGTAGGTTGAACACCGAATATGTACATGGTAATAAAAATTGTTACATATATGTATTTTTTTAGAAACAAGGTAGGCCTACTTGTATTATATATCATTCTTTTCCTTATAGAACTCTGCACAATAATTTGTATATTTTTAAAAATTATTTTGAGTTCATGGATTTGTGTTATAATACGGAATTACATATACTGTACATATGAATAAAAAAGGTTTCCGCTTAGTATTATACAAAAAAATCTTTTTTGTAAATTTAAATTTCATATCAAAAATGTATAGGCCTATAGTACCTATTCACCTCTGCTAAAAACTGGTTTCAGAGCAATAAGTTAAAAATTAACGAAGATAAGACTCAAAGAATATTATTGTCTCTAAAAAGAGAAATTCCAGCGGGGAACAATGAACCAGTCAAGATTCTAGGCTTCTGGCTAGATAACAGGCTTGATTGGAACTTTCATGTGGCCAAGGTCTGTTCAAAATTATCAAGAGTAATTTGCCTTCTACGGAAATTGACAAAGGCTTTAACTGTGGATCACCTTCTAGGAATTAATCATGCCTTGTTCCATCCACAGTCATTTGAACTGGGGACACTCGGCTGCCTGCAGTGGTGCTCTTATTCTGCAGAAGAAGGCGCTAAGAGTTATGGCATCGACTCATGACCTTGAACACTGTAAACCTCTTTTTAAAGAATTTAGAATCCTCACAGTATATAACCAGTATATTTTCAACTCTCTCAACTACATCAAACAGAATATCAATCTTTTTAATGACAGAACTACCATACACCAACATCGAACTTGTAAAGCTCAAAATCTGGAAGTACAAAGATGCAGGCTGAGCAAAACACAAAAATCCTTTCCAATTGCAGCCATAAAACTATTCAACAGCCTCCCAGCCGATGTGAAAAGCCTCACAACCTCAAATTTCAAGAACCACATCAAACATGAACTTTTAGAATGGCCAGTATACAACCTGAACGATGCAGAAGGAATCCCACTATTCAAGGGAAAGAAATAGCCGAAAGGCATTTGACGCAGTCAATCCCACAAGCTGGGTCAAAGACGAAGACATCAAGTATCAAGTAAGTATCAAGTATCAAGTATTATTCCTTGTTTTTTGCTGAAAGAAATTATATATAATATAGGTAATATCTTTTCAGGGTTGTTTATATAATTTTTTAAGGGTTTTAAAAAATGGGTGCGCAGCGTCTAAAAAACCCTTGCCACTACAGAGTAAAATGACTGCCAACTCTAGGGTTAAAATAGCCCCTTCTAGTCCAAAGTCAAAATAAATGTAAAACGTTCAGTGGTCCGTGTTAGGCCTACATGTAGGGCATCTAACAGAGTCCGGTACCGTAGGTGTATGGCTCTGGGAAGTAGGTATTTTTGACAGGGACTTTCTCCCTAATCATTGTTATTTCACCTATTTTCAGGATAAGACATTCCAAACCACGTACACCCCCTATTTTTGGTGCCAATTTTACATCCCTAATTTTTAGGGGGCATTTCCCCCCATTGCAACTGAAACAGGGGGGTCATAGGGGGACGGTGATGGTTCAATTGAATTCCTCGCCCCAAAAATAGAGGGTGTAAGTTACAAGGTTTGGAATGTCTTAGGCTACCCTGAAAATAAGTGAAATGCAACGATTAGGGAAAAAAGTCCTGTCAAAAATTCCCACTCCCCAGAGCCAACTTACACCTAGCGTACCCAGAGAAATGTATTAAATTTACCCCGGATATTTACCCCCATGAAAAAACGCCTACGTCATTTTGATGTCACGAGGGGCGGGGCCTATACACGGTCGAGAAACAGTCCGAGACTGGAAATCTACCCCCGGACATCTACCCCCAGACATCTACCCCCGGACATCTACCCCCGGACATCTACCCCCGTGGTCAGCTCTGTCACGTATCGGCCAATATTCATTGTTGTAATTGATTCTATTGACGGTTAGTAATTGCCCTCTAATATATAGTATTACGCATGTGATATGTCATTGTTTTGTTTAACATTATCTATCTTCCAAATGAAATAGGCTGTAACAGCCCTTTTTCACCCGAACTACTTCACAGATCTTTATGATCGAGGTGTAATTTTAAATCTTAAGATCTAGCGCAACGCAAAATGGTAATTAAAACTATATTACTAGAGAGGAATTAATAATGAAATCATGAATAATAATGAAAATAATGAAATTGATCAACCAGTGGCGGGCTTTTTATCAACATTTGATTG